TGTTTCCAAGTCATGCATCTCCCTGCTAAAGATACTGGTTTTCTTGTTTTGCATCTTCTATGATGGGATATTCACCCATAACCTTGGACACATGCTCTTACAGTGTCTAATTCATATTCAAGTATCCTTTCATTAGGGTTGGCTTCTAGCTTATCTGAACAGGTTTCCCACAAAAAGAAATCACACTACAGAAAACTTTTGTTTACCTTTTGGTAATTGACCTAGAAAATGAACGTTTTATACTTTATCAAGATAATTTCTTGCATCTTTTTAATTTGATACTTAGGAAAACTGAGACTCAAGAGTTTTTTTTTTTTTTTAAACATCGATTTGCGGGGCCTTTGCTGTGGAGTAGCTGGTAAAGCTGCCGCCTGCAGTGCCAGCATCCCATATGGGCGCCAGTTCAAGTACTGGCTGCTCCACTTCTGATCCAGCTCTCTGCTATGGCCTGGGAAAGCAGAAGAAGATGGCCCAAGTTCTTGCGCCCCTGCACCCACATGGGAGACCCAGAGAAAGCTTTTGGCTCCTGGCTTCAGATCGGCACCATTGTGGCCAATTGAGGAGTGAACCAGCAGATGGAAGACCTCTTCTCTCGCTCTCTCTCCTTTCTCTGTGTAACTCTGTCTTTCAAATAAAAATAAATAATCTTTTAAAAAATTTTTATTATTATTTTTGACAGATGAGTTAGGGAGAGAGAGAGAGAGAAAGGTCTTCCTTCTGTTGGTTCACCCCCCAAAATGGCCGCTACAGCCCATGCTGCGCTGATCCGATGGCAGGAGCCAGGTGCTTTTCCTGGTCTCACATGGGGTGCAGGACCCAAGCACTTGGGCCATCCTCCACTGCACTCCCGGGCCGCAGCAGAGAGCTGGCCTGGAAGAGGAGCAACCGGGACTAGAACCCAGCGCCCATATGGGATGCCAGGAGGATTAACCAAGTGAGCCATGGTGCTGGCCCAAAATAGCTAAATCTTTAAAAAATATATAGACATTGATTTGCTTTTAAAATATTTTAATCACTTGATAACTATGGTTAAATAACTCGTTAAATGAATGAATAGTATTTCACAAGCATTTTTAAAAAGATTTATTTATTTGAAAGGCAGAGTTACAAGAGAGAGAGGGAGAGATCTTCTGTCTACTGGTTTACTCCCCAAATGTTGGTAATGGCTGGAACTAGGCTGATCAAAAGCCAGGAACCAGTAGCTTCTTCCGGGTCTCCCACGTGGGTGCAGGGGCCCAAGGACTTGGGTCTTCTGCTGCTTTCCCAGGTGCATTTTCTGGGAGCTGTATCAGAAGTGGAGCTGCTGGCACTGGAACTGGCACCCAGATGGGATGTCGCTGCCACAGGTGGTTCTTTACTCACTATGCTACAGAGCTGGCCTTGATCAAGCACTTTTGTTTTTAGATTATTTATTTATTAGAAAGTCAGAGTTACACACAGAGAGAAGGAAAGACAGAGAGAGAGAGAGGTCCTCCATCCACTGGCCCATTCCCCATTTGGCTGTAACAGCTGGAGCAGCTGGAACTTGAACCGGAGCCCCAGTGGGATGCTGGCAGTGCAAGCGGCTTCACCCACTATACCACAGCACCCGCCCCTTGATCAAGTATGTTATTTTATTTTTGTCTTATTTGTGAACTTTCTATTTATGTATTTGTTTTTTACATTTAAAAATTTATTTCTTTATTTCCCTCTCCCCAAATAAGACATTTATTTAAAGAATACAAACTTTGTGCATTTCATAAATACACCTTTAGGAAAACAGTGATTCTTCCCACCATACCCTCCCTCCCACTCACTCTCCCACCTCTCCTCCTCCTTCCTCTCCCATTCCCAATCCCATTCTCCACTAGGATCTATTTTTGACCAACTTTATATACAGAAGACCAACTCTGTACTGAGTTCAACAATTTGCATGAATGCAAAACAAAACAAAACAAACTGTTCCTCAACAATTGAGACAAGGGCTGTTCAAAGTCATCGCAGTTTGAAGTTTATTTCACTTTAGCTTTTTTTAGAAACTTAACTAACTTTAAAGAAGCACCCAAGAATTATAAATCCTTTGCAAGCACTTAGACTTAATTATAATACAACTCAACTAACTCTGTCCTCAAAGGACAGAGGTCCTGCATGGGAAGTTAGTGCACACTGACTCCTGTTGTTAATTTAACAATTAACACTCTGATGTGTGATGTCAGCGATCACCCGAGGCTCTTGACATGAGCTGCCTAGGCTATGGAAGTCTTTTGAGTCCACAAACTCCGTCAGTATTTGGACAGGGCCATAAGCAAAGCGGAAATTCTCTCCTCCCTTCAGAGAAAAGCACCTCCTTCTTTTGAGCAAGCATTTTAAGCATTTGATATTTGGCAAACTTCACAAAAGCAAATTCTAAATTATGTCTTTTTGACCACAAACTTTGGACATTTCCAAGGGCTCCTGAAAATGCAAAGCAATATTAAACTAGGAGTATTTGATATATTGATGTATATGAGAAAAAGTGTCAACTAAGTAATGATGGTTAGTTTCCAGCATTGTGGCACAGCAGGTTAAGTTGCTGTTTGCAACTTTGCCAGCATCTCTTATCAGTTTGCTGGTTCAAGTCCCAGCTGTTCCTTGCTAGTGTGACTGGGAAGGCAGTGGATGATGGCCCAAGCACTTGGGCCTCTGCTACCCATGTGGGAAACTGAAGTGAAGTTCCTGGTTCCTGGCTTCAGCCTGGCCCAGACCTGGCTGTTTCGGCCACTGAGGGAGTGAGTCAGCAGATGGAAGATCTCTTTGTCTTTCCCTTTCTTTTTGTTGCTCTTTCAAGTAAATACATATCCTTTTTTTGTTGTTGTAAATAAAAGAGATTTGTTTTGTGTTATATCTGTGTGAATGTATTATTAACATGGATTCCAAGATTGTATGAGGTTCCTAGAAATCTAGTATGTCTTGGTTTATGTTGTAATTTATAAATGTTAAGATTGTATGCTGCAAAATAATGAAATATGCTTGTCAATTCATATGAATTCTCATCACTTTTTAAAAAAGATTTTTTATTTATTTATGACAGGTAGAGTTACAGTCAGTGAGAGAGAGAGAGACAGAGAGAAAGGTCTTCCCTCCATTGGTTCACCCCCAAATGGCCACTATGGCTACAGCGATGCCGATCTGAAGCCAGGAGCCAGGTGCTTCCTCCTGGTCTCCCATGGAGTGCAGGGCCCAAGTACTTGGGTCATCCTCCACTGCCTTCCCGGGCCACAGCAGAGAGCTGGACTGGTAGAGGAGCAACTGGGACTAGAACCTGGCGCCCGCATGGGATGCTGGTGCTGCAGGTGGAGGATTAACCAAGTGAGCCATGGCGCTGGGCCCTCATCACATTTTTAATTATGGCCATTTTAAGTTTTTGTCAATGACAGGCAGTTAGTGCCTTGCTCTGAATCCTCTCTAAAGAACTGCAATTAGGTATTGTCCAAAATTGTTACTTCACAAAAAAGACTGACGTGTTCTCTTAAGTTTCAGATAACTTCAGGATCACATCGTTGAACTGGGTAAGAATCTCCAGATCTCAAATGGAAAATGAGACTTGTAACACGGATGGCTTCATCAAGCAGAATAAGAGTTAGCAATACAAGATTGGTGTGATAAAGGATTACGATTTTTTGACTTTTTTGTTTAAATCATAGCTCATTCTTTTAGTTTTCCAGATTTAAGAGAACTTTTAAGTTTTCGACAATTTGGTGAAGTCTGCCTTTTGGAATAGAATGCAAACATTTACATTTCTCCCAACCCGATCTCATCAGAAAGCTCACATTGGTGTTTCCTTAATTTTATGGCAGTATCGTTATTTGCACGAGTTCAGTAAGAATCTCTTCTTCTGACTGGACACAATTGAGAATACTAAGTTACAAGGGTTTGCCTAAAATGTTATTCTTCAGATATGACTAGACCACTTCAAAGGACTGAGTTACCGATTTAATGAAGTCAACAGGTGCACCCCGGACAATGTGACCGTTACCCTTGCCTACCCACTTCTCGGCCTTGCGGAAATTATAACGCAACGCTCCCCTGCGTTCCATGAAGTTCATGCTTGAGCCATCCTCTCCCAGGAGCCCTCCTCGCCCTCAGCTCCCGCGGCCACCAGGGCACTCCAGGACAGCCTACCTCCGACTAAGCTTTCTTAGCATCCAGGGATCCAGACGACTGGATCAATCAGAAATGCGTCTGACATCAGCCATCAAAACAGGCGGACGTGAGCAGAGGTCACAAATGGCTGCCCTTTGGGTCAGAGCCCCGGGAGAGGCAGGAATTAGGGAGTGGGGCCAATGCGCAGCCTCAACCGTCTTTCTGGACTGGGTGGAACCACAGGGACCTCAGCAGGCGGCCCTCACTTGCTCCTGAGGCACCTGTGATGACCGGCAGGCCCTTGTGCCCACAGTGCCCACGGGCTTGCACCGATCATCTCTGCGCAAGACAACTGCACACACCGCACAGCCGCGGCTCTTCTCTCGGAGGCAATCAGTAGCCGGGCCCTGGATCCGCCAGCATCGCAACTCCTTTGAGGGCCCTGAATAAATGCCTTCTGCCGCAGCCTATTTTTTTTTTTAAGATCTGTTGACACTTTCGTGTTTTTAAGCTCTAAATAAATGTGACGCAGAATAACTCTTGATTTTTCGTTTCTCTAGTCCAGATACTCTGATTCCTTATGGGGTTTGCAAAGTGCAAACTCTTGCATACACGTAACGGTCGTTTTTTCTGTTTCTTTCTCCCTGGAGGGCCAAGTGAGGGCAAAGAGGCGGGCCCTCGCAGCGACTAACGAAACACCTACCTCTCCACTCACTGCGGCTGATGCCTAATTTGACACCATTCCGGTGTGCGCAGGCGCACTGAGAGCGGCCGCTGGGCTTGACGGAGAGCGGTCGCTCGGCTGTCTGCTCGTCCTGCCTGCCTCAGCTAGGGCGTGGGTACGCGCAGGCGTGCAGGGAGCGGCCGCGGGGCATGCCGGGTAGCTGTCGCTAGGCTCGCGGCTACTGCTGCCTGCCGGTTGCTAGGAGTCGAGGACGCAGGCCACGCAGCAGGCCCCTGGCCGGCCGAGGGGGCAGGCGCCAGCCAGGTGGTCTCCGGGGTGGCCGGAGCCTGGCCGGGGCCCCGGGTACCCCGGCCGCCCGGGCCTGCGAGGAGCTATGGAACCTGGAAGGGTCAGTGCAGGCCGGGATCCGGGAGCGGGGAGGTGGGTGCCGGCCCTCACCTGCGGCCGGCTCGGGATGGCGGACATTCTCGGACTCCCGCGGGGTTCCCGGGCCAGCCGAGCGCGGCCTTCGCGCCTGCAGGCTTCGTGGGGGCTCGAGCGGTTCCCTGTCGGGAGCCGGGGCCGCGGGGCGGGGAGCTCGGAGGTCTGAGGCGCTGGGATTGGAGGGGTCGGAACGCAGCACTCGGGGGCCGCCTGTTAGTCTCCTCCGCCCCGCCCGAGCGGGCAGCCCCCTTCTCTCCGTCTTGGCTCTCGCCCGACGCGGGGGAAACTGAGGCAGGGCTAAGCAGTCTGGGTAGTAGGCGCCGGGAGCGCAGCTCGTGTCTGGTTTTCCGGCTCCAAACAGTATTGAACGGCACACAGAATAGCTTTTTAGGCTGTAGGACGATAACGGCTGGTAGCCGGCTTTTACTCCTTGTCCGGTACCGGTAGGAGCCGGCCGCATGCGACTCCCGAGCTGTGTGGCTGATGTGACCGAGGAGCAGAATTACAATTTCTTTTTATACATTGCATACCTTTCCTCCCATTATTTTCCTTGTTTACCTTTATAATAAATAACATTTACTTTGTATTTAGAGAATGTTCCGTGATACTCTCATCTGAGCTGGTGTTTTGTGTTCTTGCATCAACCGTAGGAGGCATCTTTAACTCCTCTTAGTTAAGTTCAGGGAGTGACGCTGCTCCCCACCTCTCGTTAAGCCCCACCCGAGCTCTGTCATCCTCTCTCATCATTCCCTTGACATTTCTGTAAGTCGTTCTGTACCTCAAGCCTTCCGTGATGTGTTCACAAGTGGATGCGTCGGCATTGTGTAAGTAGTGCCTACTGCAGAACCGAACAGGTGGAGATGCAGCCCCGACTCATTCTGCCTAGAGAACGGTGTCCCTGGGGCCGGATTCAAATAGGTCATCTACTTTTACATTCAGTTAATGTAGTACACTGTGGTTTACTTTGTGCTTGGACTATGTCTTCCTTTTTTTTTTTTAGATTTACTTATTTATTTGAAAGGCACAGTTACAGAGAGGTAGAGGCAGAGAGAGAGAAAGAGAGAGAGGGAAGTCGGTCTTCCATCCGCTGGTTCACTCTCCAGATGGCCGCAACTGCCGGAGCTGTGCTGATCCAAAGTCAGGAGCGTCCTCTGGGTCTCCCACATGGGTGCAGGGGCCCACGGACTTGGTCCATCTTGTACTGCTTTCCCAGGCCATAGCAGAGAACTGGATTGGAAGTGGAGCAGCCGGGACTAGAACCGGTGCCCATTTGGGATGCTGGCACTGCAGACTGGAGCTTTAACCTGCTGCGTCACAGCTCTGGTCCTGGACTATGTCTGTCTGTCTGTCTTTCAAGATTTATTTATTTATTTAGAGAGAGATAGAGCCAGAGCCAGAACTAGAACGAGAGAGAGAGAGAGAGGGAGGTAGAGGTCTTCCATCCGCTGGTTCACTCCCCAATTAGCCGCAACAGTCAGAACTGCGCTGATCTGGAGCCAGGAGCTTCTTCCAGGTCTTCCACGTGGGTGCAGGGGCCCAGGACTTGGGCCATCCTCTACTGCTTTCCCAGGCCATAGCAGAGAGCTGGGTAGGAAGTAGAGCAGCCAGGTCTTGAACTGGCACACATATGGAATGCCGGCACTGCAGGTGGCGGCTTTACTGGCTATGCAACAGTGCCAGTCCCATATGTTTCTCTTAAAGACTTTTTATTTTTTGACAGGCAGAGTGGACAGTGAGAGAGAGAAAGAGAGAAAGGTCTTCCTTTGCCATTGGTTCACCCTCCAATGGCCGCCACGGCTGGCGCGCTGCGGCCGGCGCACCACGCTGATCCGATGGCAGGAGCCAGGTGCTTCTCCTGGTCTCCCATGGGGTGCAGGGCCCAAGGACTTGGGCCATCCTCCACTGCACTCCTGGGCCACAGCAGAGAGCTGGACTGGAAGAGGGGCAACTGGGACAGAACCGGTGCCCCAAGCAAGACTAGAACCCGGTGTGCCGGCGCTGCAGGCGGAGGATTAGCCTAGTGAGCTCTGGTGCTGGCCTCTTAAAGACTCTTTGATCTTCTACTTGTTTCTATTTGCTGCCTTTTGCGCAAAAAAGAATATATACTCTCTTACACCTTCTCACTATATATTCTAGTTTATTCATCAGTCATCTTACCTGTTTAATGAAGTCCACTTTGAAAAACCTCTTCCCAGAGCTTGCCTTCTCCCTTCTCTTCTCACCAGAACTATTTGTTTTCTGGATCAGGGCAGAACTGTTGTCTGCAAGCTCGTTCACATTGTATTTCTGAGTTAGGCTTGCTGTGTCTGGGCCTACTGGGTTTTTTTTTAAAAATCTCCCTCTCCTGCCCTCGAGTATTTTCATGCCTTTTTCTTTATTTCTTTTTAAAAGACTTACTTATTTTTTTTGAAAGGCAAAGTGACAGAGATATAGAATGACGGAAAGATCTTCTATCCACTGGTTCACTCCCCAAATAGCTGTATCGGCTGGAGTTGGTCCTGTCTGAAGCCAGGAGCCAGGAACCTCTTCTGGGTCTCCCATGTGGGTACAGGGGCACAAGGACTTGGGCCATCTTCCACTGCTTTCCCAGGCCATAGCAGAGAGCTGGATCAGAAGAGGAGCAGCCGGGACTCAAACCAGTGCTCCATGGGATTCCGGCACTGCAGGCGTCGGCTTTACCCACTACGCCACAACACCAGCCCTGCATTTTTTTTTGTTAGATACTAAACCATTGGTAACATGTAAGTTTGTTATTACTGAGATGTTTATTATTCATAGGTAGAAAAATGGAAAATCTTATGTATGTGTATTAAGGTTATCTTTAGGTTTGAAAAATTCCTTAAGCTTTAAATTTGATATGAATATGAACTAACGATACTGACTTGGCGTGGTACAGTGCTATTTCGTTCTATTTTTATAGAGGCCGGGTGGCCTCTCCAAGAGTTGATATGCACTAATCCACTTGTTGGGACTCTCAGCATGAACAGACATTCTGACCCTGAAGCAAGAGGCTTGACCAGACTCCAGCACGCCTTCCAGCAGCCTAGGCTGGGTCTCTGGGACACCCCAGCCCCTCTTTGAACTCCTTGTTTGGAGAAACTCAGGGCTGCCAAAATAATTTACTGTGTGTCCTAGCCAACACCTGAGGATAGGCCTCTAACTTTGCTTTCCGAGGGTATTAGCTAAAAAGGCTGAAATTGGGAACCCGTCTCTTGGCTGAGATGTCTGTGTGTCTCCGACAACTCAGGCGTGTTTCCCAAGGGCCTCGGGGCCATTGTTCAGAGACGTGCTCATCAGGCGCAGTGGGCCTGTGTCTCCCATTGTCCACGGGGGCAGACTCCTAATTCCAGGAATTGTCAGCTAGAAGACAGAGCTCGTGCAGTCCCATTGACACTGATCAGCCTTTATAATCTTCGGGTTGCGTTTTCCCCTGGCTGCCTCCCTCCATTCTCTCTCTTCAATATCTAGACACCTCCGTGCCATTTGGAATGGAGCTTAGCTCTTTCCCCCACTGCCACTGTTACTGAATACAATCTGTGTTTACCACTGTAATGCGCAGCTTTCTTCATCTTTGACATCCTCCCCACATTTCTGTCAGGCAACTCTGGAGTGGACTGGTCAGCGTTTCACCTACAAAACAGACTCAGTGCTGTCGGAATCCACGTGCTTCGACATAGCATTTTATTCCAGTATGTAGACAGATATTTTCTAACCTACCAAGAAGTAGTAACCATTGGTTTAAAGAGGGTAGTGGAAAAGCAGCCAACTGGAGCCCACAGAATCAGTTATTTTAAACATCAAAAATTCTTACTTTGTATCTTTCCTTTTAGAGAAGAACCAAAGATGATACTTGGAAAGCGGATGATCTCAGAAGACAGCTTTGGGTAATGCCTTCTTTTTTTTTTTTTTTTTTTTTTTTTTTTTTTTTACAGGCAGAGTGGACAGTGAGAGAGAGAGACAGAGAGAAAGGTCTTCCTTTGCCGTTGGTTCACCCTCCAATGGCCGCCACGGCTGGCGCACTGTGGCCTGCGCACTGCGCTGATCCGATGGCAGGAGCCAGGTACTTCTCCTGGTCTCCCATGCGGTGCAGGGCCCAAGCACCTGGGCCATCCTCCACTGCACTCCCTGGCCACAGCAGAGAGCTGGCCTGGAAGAGGGGCAACCGGGACAGAATCCGGTGCCCCAACCGGGACTAGAACCCGGTGTGCCGGCGCCACTAGGCAGAGGATTAGCCTAGTGAGCCGTGGCGCCGGCAGGTAATGCCTTCTAAAGCTTTAAGTTGAGATGTGTTTGGAGCCTGTGTGATTTCCTTGGACATTCACAACTTGGGTTCCCTGTGGCTGATTTCAGATATGCCTTTGACTGAAAGATGATGCCCTGTGGTTAGTACCTCAGGAACTGGGGTGGGATAGGGCCAGGGGCAGGGCAGGATGTGTTCCGTTTGTTAGGCCAGCCTGGCAGCCCCACTGGGTCCCTGGGCCCTGTGCTACTCCAGGTGTTTGTGTGTGTTTCCTCATTCATGGAAGCAGTGGCAAGGAGGTAGAAGAGAGGCTTGGGGACTGAGGTCATGTCCTCAGCTCCTGAGAGTTTTATAATGAGGGTCTTTGTTCTGTGGATAGAACCCAGGTAGTTCCTATCTCAGCAAGCTTAAAAACACTCTCGCATCTTTTTCTTTCTAATCTACATGGTGTTTTAGATTTGATTTGCCAATAAATGTGCAGGTCCCTGCCACCCAGCAGGCAGTTGGAGAAATGCTGGTTCTCACTTCAGTCACTTTAGTATTCTAGGAACACTCACCCGGGCCCCTACCCATCCTGCTAGGATTGGAAAGCTGTTGAATCCAGTGTGTTTTTAAGGTCCCTACGATGAGTATGATGATTCTCATATTCAGATGTCAAAAACGTAAGGGAAATGTGCCTTTCTGGTCAAAGAGGATCCTTTTTTTTTTTTTTTCCTGTTGTTTTAGGCTGTGCAATCAGGTGCTTCCAAGGAAGAAAGGAAACACAAAGAGAAGAAGCTGCACCGGGAGTCTGAGACGGACCTTCCTGAGCACAAAGAGCATAAGTACAGGGATCCAGAGCGGGAGGCGAAGTACAGAGAACGGCTGACCGAGAGAGAGGCCCACGCCTCCAGGGAGCACCCTCGCGGGGAGAGGGACAGAGAGAAACAGAGGGAGAGGAAGAAGGACGCCAGAGATCGGGACAAGGAAAAGTCGAGAGAGAAGTACCGAGAGCAGGAGGCAGAGAAGGCTCACAGCAGGGGCAAGGACAGAGACAAGGACAAGGACAAGGACAAGGACAGGAGGGCAAGGAAGGACGAGCTCCGGCAGACCGCTGCCCACCACAACCTCCTGGGCCGCGAGGCCCGCGAGGCCCGCGAGGCCCGCGAGCGACAGCTTCTGGAGAGAGCGGAGAGGAAGGTCCGCTCAGGTGCGTCCCCCTCGTCTCGGGCGAGTGTGTTCCGTGTTTCCTGCCGAGCGTTTGTTAAAACCTTTTGTTAGCAGTGTTTCTTTCTATTTTTTAAGGATTAATTTGTTTATTTGAAAAGCAGAGCTACAGGGATGGAGGGATGAGAGGGGGAAGAAAGAAAGAGATCAATCTTCCATCTGCTGGGTCACTCCCCAAATGGCCGAGAGGACGGGGCTGGGCCAGGTGGAAGCCAGGAGCCAGCAGCTTCATCCAGGTCTCCTACTTGGGTGCAGGAGCCAAGCACTCGGGCCATCTTCTGCTGCTTTCCCAGGTGCATTAGCAGGGAGCTGGATTGGAAGTGGAGCAGCCAGGGCTCTGACTGGTGCCCATATGGGGTCCCGGTGCTGCAGGTGGTGGTTTTTTTAATAAATCTTATTATTTATTTATTTATTTTTGACAGGCAGAGTGGACAGTGAGAGACAGAGAGAAAGGTCTTCCTTTTCCGTTGGTTCACCCCCCAACGGCCGCTGCAGCCAGTGCACTGCGCTCATCTGAAGGCAGGAGCCAGGTGCTTCCTCCTGGTCTCCCATGTGGGTGCAGGGCCCAAGCACTTGGGCCATCCTCCACTGCCTTCCCGGGCCACAGCAGAGAGCTGGACTGGAAGAGGGGCAACTGGGACAGAATCCGGCGCCCCAACTGGGACTAGAAGCCGGTGTGCCGGCGCCTCAGGCGGAGGATTAGCCTGGTGAGCCGTGGCGCCAGCCATGCAGGTGGTGGTTTAACCCGCCATGCCAGTCATTCTGTTTTCCCTGACATTTTTGTGAGTGGTTTAGCATTGTATTTGAAGTTACAGGTCCCTCTTCTTTGTGTCTGTGTGTTGGGGTGTGTACTGTTTACTGTTCTTTTCTTTTTGATCTTTTTAAAACTTAGTCAATAAGGGTAGTAATAATTTCCTCATTTGCTAGAGTTTTACTGTTGGAAAGTATTTTAGGTTCATATTAGTACATCTTAATTCTATTGTAAGTAAGCAGAAATCATGTTCTTTGGTAGGAAGTATTCCTCACAAATGCCGGTTTTCTTTTAAGCAATGTTTAGATATTATTTATGTAAATTCTGAGGTAAAGGTAATGGGCTTCTCCCCACCCCAAATGGAAGTTTCTTGACGATTTATTAGTTGTACAGACAGTGTACTCTTCTTATAAAAAAAGAGGCAACTTACGTGAAAAAATAGATTAGCAGAATATATCTTATAGTTATATAGTTATATAAGTTATATGTATAACTTATAGTTAGCAGTAGTAATTCTTAGCATCAGCATAAAGGGTAGAGGAACTGGCTATGAAATTATCTTACTAATGCCTCTCATTATTATTTTGATGTTCTTGGTCCTTATTTCTAATAACATACTTTGTTCTCCGGTCGCTCTCTGTTGTCGCTGCTTGCCCTTGCCTTTTCAGTACGGTATTTAAATGAGTTATGTTAGGAAGGCAGATTGTACACTCAGGCTTCGTGAAGTTGTTTCCGTCATCGCGGATTGGCCTCTCGCACTTCTTTCTCCTCCTGCTTCTCCCTGTCTGTGACACGTGACCTTGCTCTGGGCCGTGGTCCTTGGAGCACTTCACAGCTGGCTGTCTCCCTCACTGGCTGGATCCAGTCTTGTAGTATTCAGTACCCTCCGTCTATTCCAGATTTCCAAATTCCCGCAGTGGGCCTCATCCCTGAACCCCGTGCGTCTACCTGCCTGTATTTGCTGTTGCATAGGTTCTGTGAGTTGTGTCCCCGCTGCACTTCGGATCACTCTGCCAGACGCGGCTCCACCACCGCCCTCTCGTTTCTGGTGGCAGTTGCGTCCTTCTGTTCCGGAGTCAGGAAACCTGGAATCACCCTGACGCATGCTTCTCTCCAGTCTCTTGGAGAATATGTGGTTCTACCTTCCAAATACACTAGACCCTGGCCCTCTCCGGCCTGTGTCCCTGGCTCCTAGCACGGTGGCTAGTGCTCCTGAAGATGTTTGTCTTAGTCATCTCTGAAAGTTTAATTTTGCCCCTTTTTGAAAGAATTTATTTTATTTATTTGAAAAACAGTTAGTGGGAGACACACACACACACACACACACGCACATACACACAGACTTTCCCATCTGCTGGTTCACTCCCCACATGAACACAGTGGCCTGCAGTGGGCCAGGCTGAAGCCAGGAAGCTGGCGTTCCATGTGAGTATACTATGTGGATGGCAGGGGCCCAAGCACTGCCACTCCCAGGTGTGTTACCAGGGAGCTGGATCTGAAGTGGAGCATCCTGGAGTCTAACTGGTACTCACATGAGATGCTGGTGATGCAGGCAGTGGCTTAATCTCTTACATCACGACACCAGCTCCTGCCTTTATTTATTTATCTATTTTTTAAGATTTATTTATTTATTTGAAAGTCAAAGTTACACAGAGAGGGAGAGAGAGAGAGGCAAAGAGAGTAAGAGAGAGGTCTTCCATTCGCTGGTTCACTCCCCAGTTGGCCGCAATGGCCAGAGCTGTGCCGATTTGAAGCCAGGAGCCAGGAGCTTCCCCCGGGTCTCCCATGTGAGTCAAGAGGCCCAAGGACTTGGGCCACTTTCCACAACTTTCCCAGGCTATAGCAGAGAGCTGGATTGGAAGTGGAGCAGCCGGGACTTGAACTGGTGCCCACATGAGATGCTGGCACTGCAGACGGTGGCGCCACCTGCTATGCCAAGTGCTGGCCCCGCCCTAATTTGCTTTATAAGGTTTTATTTGAAAGGCAGAGTTACAGAGAAAAAAGGAGAGAGGGAGAGGGAGAGGGAGAGAGAGGGAGCACATACTCTTCCACCTGCTGGTTCACTCCCGAAAAGGATACAGTGACTGGCACTGGACCAGGCCAAAGCCAGGAGCCAGGAACTCCATCCAGGTCTCCCACGTGGGTGGCAGGGATCTAGGCACTTGTGCCATCTTCTACTGCTGTCCCAGGTACATTAGCAGGGGGCTGGATCTATGGTGGACCAGCTAGGACTCAAACTGGTGCTCATTTGGGATGCCAGCATCACCGTTGGTGGTTTAACCTGCTGCGCCACAATGCCAGCTCCCGCCCTTATCTTTTAAAGTCAGTTTTCATAGCTGGGAGGCAGATGCCTTTTTTATCTGCAGTTTCAGAAGAGAAGATCCAGGTTTGCTTGCTCAGTGGTGCTTTGGGCGACGTCAGTAACTGTATGACTGTTTGGCCCACCCCTTCCTTCCCTGGGCCTCACTGCCAAGTTGTGCTGGGCGTTGGCTCAACACGCCCTGCCCCAGGCACTGATCCTTCATGCTAGTGTGTGTGGGCTGTGCCTGCCTAACTTCCTTTTAGTTCGGGGACCTCTTGCCTCTTTTTTCTTCCCGGCACTGGGGGAGCCATCAGGCTGTGGGGGCCGGGCTAGTTCCTCAGCACCTCCATGAGGGCAGACGTATCCTCGGAGCGTCAAAGCTGGCTAGCATGTTTGGCCATCTGGGTGAAAGTCTCTCCTCAAACTGGGCTCTGCTTTCCCCTTTTACTGATACGTGGAAATCATGAGGTCAGTGTGTGTCTGGGCTGGGGCTCCTCTTGAATGTCTCATGGAAGTGAGACATTTGCCTGGTTGCCAACTAGCAAACTGGGAGAGGGGAAGAATTCTGTCTGAGCCTTGGATTGCCATTTTGATCTCCCTCTTTGTTCCATTGTAGGTTTAGATGCTTGAACTTCCACTCAAATTTGGAGAGTGTGTTTTATTCAAGAATATTGAAAAATACATGTTAATAAATGTTAATAAATGCAGGTGCAGTAAAGTCTGCATCAGGATGTTAGAATATCTGCTTTATGGCTAACATTTGGGAGTGTTAAAAATGTTTTATTTTTGTAGTAAGTAAAGTAAGAATTGAAGAGAAAGAACGGAGAGAAGAAGACTGTGAAAGAGCAGAAGATGAGAGAGAGAGGAGATACCGAGAGAGAAAGGTACCAAACCAGGCCAGCACGGGGCGTTCAGTGCTGCAGGGGAGGGCGGCTGAGGGCCGGGAGGGACGTTACTGGAAGCATTTGTGGAAAATTTCATACCTGAGGGTTCCAGGCCTGGAAACGTTTCAGGCTCTATGCATTACCAGTCTTTCCCCCTCGTGATTGCGTGTTTCTCTGGGTTCCAGGGTAGTGCGTCATTATTTTAGAAAATTTAGAACACACAAATAAATAGCAAGTAAACAAAGGCTGTCTGATCTCCACTCAGGTAATTAATTATTGATAATGTTTGTATTGATCATGTATGTATCTTACCATGTTTTTGTTTATATGTACAAACATGTATGCACATACACCCATACTCATATGTTTGTAGAAATGTGTGTGTATGAGGGGACTTTCAAAAAGTTTGTGGAAAAATTGATTCTTAAGAGATGTTTATTTTGGCGTAAACAATTTTTCAAGTCTGTGCATATTTTTTTCCCCACAAACTTTTGGAAAACTCCTCATCAGAGTATACTTCCCCATGTCCTAAGTAGCTACTGGGCATTATTTTCATTTTCAGTCTTTGCTAATTTGAGAAGACAATGGCATTTCTGCACGTTTTCTTAAAAGGATGTAGTGCCTTTCTGTTAGTTACTTATTGTGTACATTTTGTGTCTTACTGATTTGTAAGAGTCCTTAAAGGTTAACTCACAGCTAGTCTTTTTTTTTTTTGAAGATTTATTTTATTTATTTGAAAGACAGAGATACAGACAGAGATAGAGACAGAGAGAAAGAGAGAGAGGTCTTCCATTTGCTGGTTCACTCCCCAGATGGCCGCAACAGCCGGAGCTGTGCTGATCTGAAGCCAGGAACTGGGAGCTTCTTCTGGATCTCCTATGTGGGTGCAGAGGCCCAAGCACTTGGGCCATCTTCTACTGCTTTCTCAGGCCACACAGAGAACTGGATAGGAAGAGGAGCAGCCAGGACTAGAACCAGCGCCCATATGGGATACTGGCTCTTCAGGCCAGGTCTTTAACCCGCTGTGCCACAGTGCTGGCCCCACAGCTAGTCTTTTATAGCATTGTTTTGTTTTGCTTTGAATTTGGTTTATGTGACCTTTAGTCAACTTGTTGTTGTGGAACTTTTGAGCCCCTTTCCCCATAGGGAAACATCTGTTTTGTTTTTTTAAGATTTGTTTATTTGAAAGTTATTTGAAAGGCAGAGTCTCACACACAAACACACACACACACACACACACACACACAGAAGGAGGGACCTTCCATCTGCTGATCTGCTGATTAACCATTGCACACACCCCCATGCCCCCAGAACACACACACAGTCTTACAGTAATCACGCTGTAAAAGGCCAAGGCCAGGAGCCCAGAACTCTGTCTTTATCTTCCAGGGAGGTGGTGGGGACCCAAGTACTTGGGCTGTAACCTGCTGCCTTTCAGGCCCATTGATAGGAAGCTGGGTTAGCAGCAGAGTAGCCAGGACTTGCGCCAGGTCCTCCCACATGGATGCAGGTGTCCTGGGGGCAGCGTGGCCTGCTGTCCCGCAATGCCCACCCCCACGTGTTTATCTGTGTGGTCATCTGAAGTTTGATTTGGGTCTTTAACATTTGTTTTAAGGCTGAAATCTTTTTTTTTTTTAAAGATTTTATTTATTTATTTGACAGGTAGAGTTACAGTGAGAGAGACAGAGAGAGAGAGAGGTCTTCCTTCCATTAGTTCACCCCCCAAATGGCCGCTACGGCTGGCGCGCTGCGTTGATCTGAAGCCAGGAGCCGGGAGCTTCTTCCTGGTCTCCCATGCGGGTGCAGGGGCCCAAGCACTTGGTCCATCTTCTACTGCTTTCCCAGGCCATAGCAGAGAGCTGCATCGGAAGAGGGGCAGCCGAGACTAGAACCGGCGCCCATATAGGATGCCAGTGCTGCAGGCAGAGGATTAACCTAGTGCGCCGCGGCGTCGGCTCCAGCTGAAATCTTTTATTATCTTAGAGTTTATTTTGGTGAGCGACACAGGACGTAATCTCACTCTACACGGGAGCAGTTTGGTCAGGGAGATGTTCAGTGTGTTTGTCTTCAGGGTGGGTATCCTGGCACAGGTGAGAGTCAGGGTCTGTGGGAGGAGGGAAGGGGCCGCAGAGTGCAGCGATGAGCAGAAAGCTGTGGACTAGGAGTCTGCTCCCCCTGGTTGAGGTTGAGCTGAGAAGACCCTCTGTGAAGGATCAGGTCAGGCACACTTTGGGGTCTGGCGGCACGGTGGCTGTGCTCCTGGAACTGCGTCTGAGCCAAGAATATTCTGTCCTGATAACTTGGCATACAGTTCCTGAGGAACGTCACCAGTTGCTCACTGAGCGCCGCTCTGATCTTGGGGGATACAGAAGTGACCGAATGGTGGTCCCTGTTTCAAAGATCTCTATGTGGGTCGGACTGATAGAGTGATGTGATGCATCTTTGTGAGAGAGGTAGCAGCATGGGGGTGGTCAGTGAAGAGACCGTCTAGGGAGGTCACAGAGATTCCGTAGGGAAGATCTTCAGGGCCAGTGGAGCTCAGGATGTGGGCGGCAAGACGAGACTTGCAGGAGTCGGAAGAGGCTGGACTCTGATGCCGTATCTGCCTCCTGAGGAACTTGAACATTGTCCTCCATACCTCAGTGAGGTCAGTTGGGCTGTGGTGTCTTTCTGATATTGTGTAGGCTTGAGTCATCAGAAGCATCAGCCGTAGAACAATGGTGTGAATAGGTTCTTTTGCTTTCCAAAAGGACAGCAGATTAAGTTGTTAGGACAACCCCTAACCTCGGGAGAGAGAAGAGGGCAGTATTAGTTGTGTGGTTTTCTCTGCATTTGTCATACTGTGTACAAAAGGTAGACTGCTCTTGTTTCATGTGTTCATTCGTTTTTCAATATTTTGCATTTCAAAGTTGCAGTATGGTGACAGTAAAGACAATCCTCTTAAGTATTGGCTTTATAAAGAAGAAGGCGAGAGAAGACACAAGAAGGCAAGAGAACCAGATCGAGAAAAGAAACACCGGGAGAAAAGAGAGAAACATTCAAAGGAAAAAAGTAGTTCGTTCTTTGAGAAAGAAGGAGAAGAAAGACATAAAGAAAGACGACATAAAGAAAGCTCTCATTTTGATGATGAGAGGCACCGAAGTAACGTGGATAAAAAAGAAAGATCGTTGAAAGAGGAACACAAGAAAAGAGAATCCAAGGTATGAGTTTCCGATGCTTGCTTGCCTTCTGGTCATCCTCAGATCAGCATTCTTAGAGAAGAGTCGTAGCTGCATGTGGCCTGATGACGTTACTGTTTGTTATCTGATGCCTGTCATCTTGGGAAAAACGTAATTCAAGTCTCTGATTAGTATATGTATGGAGATTACTGAACTTACAAGAAACGAAGGCAAACTTTGGATTTTATGATGAATGTACTTTTTTTTTTTTTTTTTTAAGATTTATTTATTTGAAAGAGTTACACAGAGAGAGAAGGAGAGGCAGAGAGAGAGAGAGAGAGAGAGAGAGAGAGGCCTTCCATCCACTGGTTCACTCCCCAATTGGCCACAACAGCCAGAGCTGCACCAGTTTGAAGCTAGGAACCAGGAGCTTCCTCTGGGTTTCCCACGCGGGTGCAGGGGCCCAAGGACTTGGGCCATCCTTCATGGTCTTCCTAGGCCACAGCAGAGAGCTGGATCAGAAGTGGAACAGCCAGGACTCGAACCAGTGGCCAGGTGGAATGCTGGCACTGCAGGCAGTGGCTTTGCCCACTACACCACAGCGCCGGCCCCAATGAGTGTACTTTTTTTTTTTTAAAGGTTTATTTATTTTATTTGAAAGACTTAGACAGAGAGAGGTCTTCCATCCGCTGGTTCACTCCTCAATTTGCCGCAATGGCCAGAGCTGCGCCAATCCAGAGCCAGGAGCTTCTTCCAGGTCTCCCACGTGGGTGTAGGGGCCGAAGGACTTGGGCCATCTTCTACTGCTTACTCAGGCCATGGCAGAGAGCTCGATGGGGAGTGGAGCAGCTGGGTCTCAAACTGGCGCCCATATCGGATGTCGGTACTGCAGGCGCCGGCTTTAGCTGCTACACCACAGCGCCAGCCCCTAGGAATGTACTTTTAACTTATATTTGAGAACCTGTTATAAAATTTTGAGATTTAGCATTATAAAGGTAGCTGATGTTATTTAAAAATTTATTTATTTTAGAGATACACACACACACACACGGTCAGATATACACACAGGGAAGCAAAGAACTGACTAGCTCATTTCTCAGGTGCCTGCAGTGAGCAGGGCTGGACCAGGAGCTGGGAACTCAGTCTGAGTTTCCCACGTGGGTGGCAGGAACTCAGACACTTGAGCCGTCACTGCATCAGCTGGAGACTGAAGTCAGGAGCTGGAGCCAGATACTAAACCCGGGTCCTCTGAGATAGGACAGACGTGTCTTTACAGTGTCTTAATGGAAAGGCAAAATGCCTGGCCCTGATATTTTACAGTGGAGACTAAGTGAGCAGCCAAGTAATCAGTGTTCAGCCAGAGTTGGTAGTGTAAGTGTACAGCAAACCAAACAAAACAGACCAAAAATATAAAACACTGGCTGCAAAGGATCTAATCTCTCCATCGGCATTAATTTAATTACTGTACATGCTTAATATTTACTTAGACTCATTTTAGTACCTTGTTTTGATGTGTACTTTTTGCTGCTCTTTACAGAATCTGTAGCTAGTATGGTTTTATTCTATTATTTCTTAGTGGGATTTTCTTTAAAATGGAAGCAAACTTTTTTTGGGAGGGGTCGGGATGACTGAGGCTGAGAGAGATTCACACCTTCAAGGGCAAGACGGGGTTTTAGCCAAAGCCCAGGACTTGGCCTGCTGATGCAAGTATACATAGCTGAAGCCTACTGTATGCACATGTGTTTGTTGTAGGAACCAAAAGCCTTGGATTAAAACCAGGACCATTTAAGCTGAGAAACAGTTGAGTTAAGAGTAGGTTACTGGGGCAGGTTTTGTGGTACGGTGGGGTAAGCCACTTCTTGTCAGAGTGTTTGTTCTGGCTCCTCCCCTTCCTATCCAGCTTCCTGCTAATTCTCTTGGGAGGTTCCAGATGGCTCAAGTATCTGGATTTCTGCCACACACATGGATGACCCAGGTGGAGCCCCAGGCTCCTGGCTTTGACCTGGCCCAGCCCTGGCTGTTGTGAGCATTTGGGGAGTGAACAGAGGATGGGATCTCTCTCTCACTCGCTTTCTCTCTGCCTTTGAAGTAAATTTATGAAAAAGGAATAGATTGCTGCTTGGTCTCATGTCACCAGTTTGCTCTTTTCACTGTCCTGTGGCATGAATCCGCGTCCTTTCTCCCCATTGTCTTCACCCTGGTGCCTTTCTTAGAGCTGTGTTGAAACCCACCGTCGCCTACCGCCCCTGCCTGCCTTTTGGAGCTAAATGGTGGTTATGTTTCTTAGCAGTCACAACACAGTCTCAAATTTTCCATGTGTGTATGTGCTGTCTAAGGCCCACGCACTTCCTCTCTAATCAGTCACTTGGAATGTGTGCATTCCTGGCCGTGGACTGGTTAGAAAGCTCGGTGAGACGCTAGTGGACAAACAGATCCCCAAGGACAGGTATGCATTTTTTATTTTTTAAAAGCTCTTCTCTAGATCACAACTTTTTCATTGCTTTTTTCTCTGACATTTTATTATGAACATTTTGAGCATGAAGTTGACAGAATTTTACAATAGACACCCTTATACTCTCCACTTGGATTCTTCCACTAACATTATATAGAACTTGCTGTTGTCCATTCCATAGGTCAGGTTCAGTTACTAGAAATGATATGCTTAGATTGCATTTGTTTAGTCCCTGTCTCTGAAACATCTTTCTGGATATCTTTTTTTTTTTTTTTTTTTTTAAGATTTATTTTCATTATTTGAAAGAGTTAGAGAGAGAGGGAGAAAGAGAGAGAGAGAGAGAGAGAGAGATCTTCCATCTGCTGGTTCACTCCCCAAATGGCCACAAATGCTAGGGCTTGGTCAGACTGAAGCTGGGAACCAGGAGCAGCTCTGAGTCTTCCCAGATGGGTGCAGTAGCCCAAGTACTTGGGCCATCTTCTTTCTTATTTTTTAAAGATTTATTTATTTAGTTGAAAGTCAGAGTTACACAGAGAGAGAGGCAGAGGGAGAGAGAGGTCCTCCATCCGATGGTTCATTCCCCAGATGGCCGCAACGGCTGGAGCTGCATCGATCCGAAGCCAGGAGCCAGGAGCCTCCTCCAGGTCTTCCACGTGGGTGCAGGGGCCCAAGGACCTGGGCCATCTTCCACTGCCCTCCCAGGCCATAGCAGAGAGCTGGACTGGAAGTGGAGCAGCTGGGTCTTGAACTGGCGCCCATATGGGATGCCGGCACTGTAGACCAGGACTGTTATCCCACTGTACCACAGCACCATGGGCCATCGTCTGCTGCTAGCAGGGAGCTAGAAGAGAAGTGGGGCAGCCGGGACTTCAATCACTGCCTGCAGTGCCGGCATCCCACATAGGTGCCAGTTGGAGTGCTGGCTGCTCCACTGCCGATCTAGCTTCCTGCTAATGTGCCTTGGAAAGCAGTGGAGGATGACCCAAGTGCCTAAGCCCCTGTGCCTATGTGGGAGACTTGGAAGAAGCTCCTGGCTCCTGGCTTCAGCTTGGCCCATCCCTGGCCATTGCGACCATTTGGAGAGTGAAGCAGGGGATGGAAGACCTCTCTCTGTCTCTCCTCTCTCTCTAACTCTGCCTCTCAAATAAATAAAACAGATCATAGGAAAAGAGACAAAACCTCTAGACTTTTATTCTAGATTTTGCCCTGTGCAGGCCGTGAGGGTTTAGCAGTGTTACCCATCTCCGTGAGCATTGTAGGTACTGAGATAAGGACTTGAAAGCAGTGGGTAATCCCTGGCCATCACCCATGTTGCCTGCCCACATGCAGCCCCTCGGGCCAGCATTACCCCAGGGCTCTTCCAGTGATGGCTATTGTTTGTTCATTACCCAGCTTGATTCTTACAATTAACTTGGTCACTTTTTTCTTTTTCCTCATTTATGTCTAGTTAACCATTAAATTGTAGTTTTTTCCTACCTAGCACTTAAGATTTCATTCCTTTTCCCTTCTAATCTCTTTTGTTCAACATATAATTATATTTATTGTCTTAATGATTTTAGAAATATTTTTAAGTACAGGGAAGTATTAGAAATTACAAGTTGCACATGACCCTGGAGTCAGATAATCCATTTTGGTATTTTGTGTATATATATCCTTGCACTGCTTTTTCTGCACGCGTAAATGAACTTTGTGAAAACGAACGCTGGAATCGTGGTATTCTCTTCTCTTTGTTCTGGGGAATCCTTTTTAATACTAGGATTTTTAATAGCCATCTAGTATTCTGTCCTGTGGTCATAACTTCATTTATTTAGCTAATAACAATATTGAACATTCAGGTTATTAGCATTTTTTGGTATTATAAATTCTGTCATGAATAGGTTGAAAATTTTAATATATCTGATTATTTTCTTAGATTTTTTAAAATATATATTTATTTCAAAGGCAGAGATGCAGAGAGAGAAGGAGAGAGAGAGTGAAAGAGAGATCTTCCATCCACTGGTTCACTCCCCAAATCGCCACAACGGCCAGGGTTGGGCCAGGCCAAATCCAGGAGTTAGGAGCTTCATCTGGGTCTCCCACATGAGTGCTGGGGCCCAAGCACTTGGGCCATCTTCCACTGCTACCCCAGGCCATAGCAGAGAGCTGGGTTGGAAAAGGAACAGCCTGGTCACAAACCAGCACCCATATGTGGTGCCGGTGCTGCAGGACGAAGGATTAGCTCACTATACTACAGCGCCGGCCCCCTAATTTTATTTTTAAAAGTTCAGTTAATTCCAGAGAAGTTTTTTAAAGTTTTTTTTTCTCTGTAGTAACATACATCTGTGAAAAAGCGATATTCTAAATGCAATTTTCAGCAATTTAAGAAACCAGTCATATTTATCCATAAATTATGTGTCGGTTATGTGAAATGGATGACTAGTACATCCATTATTATATATTATTATATGTACTGGGGTAATATATAATCACCATTTTAATATACTTTTATTTATTTTCCTTACATTGCCTAATTTATTAAAAATAGCTGAGGCTAACGCTGTGGCATAGTGGGTAAAGCTGCTGTCTGCAGTGTCGGCATCCCATATGGGCTCTAGTTCTAGTCCTGGTTGCTCCACTTCTGATCCAGCTCTCTGCTATGGTCTGGAAAAGCCGTGGAAGATGGCCCAAGCCCTTGGGCACCTACACCCATGTGGGAGACCCGGAGAATGTTCCTGTCTCCTGGCTTTGAATCAGCGCTGCTCCAGCTGTTACAGCCAATTGGAGAGTGAACCAGTGGATGGAAGGCCTCTCTTTCTCTGTGCCCCTGCCTCTGTAGCTCTGCCTTTCAAATAAATAGATAAATCTTTAAAAACAATTTTTTAAAAAAAATCAAGTAAAATAGTTATTTTTAAAAATGTTTGTAGATGCTATTGCTGAATTTTATATCCATACTTGTTTTATAGAGTTTACTGATTATCCTTAATTTGTTATGATTTATTACTTAATTAGGTTATGGAATTTTTTTCTCTTTAATAGAATGGTGAACATAGAAATCGAGGAACAAATTCAAAAAGAGATGGAACTGGCAGCCAGTAAGGAATCTACGTCATTTCTTGATCGTTATGTACAGCATAGATCTCATAGAATGCTATAAAAATGAATTTTTCTTTTTTTGCCTAATTATAACTAGTAAATGGGAATAAGTTATAGAAGTATTTAATTTTCTCTAGATTTAACCCCTCCAAGTCTTTTTGTTCATATAAAATTAGAGAATGAGTACTTACTATGGGAAGTAAGACATTTGGGAGTTTCTCACTGTGTGAGAGGTGGTCTTTCCTCTGTCTAGAGGAAAAGTGTCTTCAGGTAGAAGGATTAGCTCCTTTTAGAGACTCGAGTAGACCATTCAGGGTCGCGTTCACTGATGCCATATTCCAGCAGCTGCCCCCAGCTCAGCATTCACAAATCGTGAGCACCAGGACACTTCAGCTGGGCTGCGGCAGTCACCGTGAGAGCAGTCGCTGGGACCGGCCTCGCCTCGAGTCTGGGGTCTGCCTCTCAATTATGCCATTGGGTGGCCTTCCGGTGAAATCTTGGTGATCATGCCTTGTGAAGATTGCAGGCTCGAGTTTATGGGTGAATGCTCATCTTGAACAGAAGCCCTGGATTCAGGTTTTTAGGGCAGCTGCATTTTGTGATGATTTTCATAGATTAGGAGAACTCAGCTTTGCTATCTTACCCAAATTTTTACACATTTGAGCAAAAACATCACTTAAACCTGGGTGAGCTTCCTAGATTTTATATTATAAATCTGTAAAGTAGGCTTTTGCTCAGATCTGTATATCTATATATTGAATTACTGTGTTTTATAAGTTCTAAAATTTGGGAATCAATTTGAAATTTTGTAAACCTTACTTTAGATCCCAACTAAAGTGAAATATGATTGAAAAATAGAACATATTTCAAGGTAAATTTTGTTTTAGAAATATAAGTTTTATATGCCACATAAAATGGTATTTGGGATAGATTAATAAAATTATAGACAAACTCTAGAACTCTTAAAGGATAGATTCATGCACACACACGAAAGATTGTTAAAACACAGAATTTCCTCTCTCTGCCGAAGAGGTCTTCTATCTTGCGTTACTGTTGCAATAGTGAAAGTACTGGGAAGTCTTTAGCATTCATAATGCGAATAAAACATGCTTTGCTAACAGATAGCAGTTCTTAATCATAACAAAATATTGATAAGAACTTTTACTAAGAAGAAAAATGTTTCATTTTTCTTAAGGACATGATTTAAAATTAAATTTTAATTTTGATCATGTTTGCTTTCTAGGCATGCAGAGAATTTAGTCAAGAATATTGGGAAAGACAAAGATTCAAGAAGGAAGGTAAGAATCTGCATTGAGGTTGTTCATGCAGTGAGATTAGTCATGTGTCTTACTTTGTGTTTCCTCTTGAAAGCAGAGCTCAAGAAAGGATTTGTTTGCATGTGGTGCGAATGATCTTCCCAGAATGCTTACTAGAGACTCCCTTTATAATAAAAGACTCAGATTGAAAGTGAAAAGATGGGGCCAGCACTGTGGCCTAGCGGGTAAAGCCACCTGCATCCCAGCATCCCAAGTGAGTGCAGGTTTGGGTTCCAGCTGCTCCTCTTCTGATCAAGCTCTCTGCTATGACCTGGGATAGCAGTGGAAGATGGCCCAAGTGCTTGGGCCCCTGCACCCATGTGGGAGACCAGGAGGAAGCACCTGGCTCCTGGCTTCGGATCAGCACAGATCCGGCCATTGTGGCCATCTGGGGAGTGATCCAGTGGATGGAAGACCTCTTTCTCTGTCTCTACCTCTCTCTGTAACTCTGTCTTTCAGATAAATAAAATAAATCTTTTAAAAAAAATAAGGAAATTTACTCAGTATTAAGAATCTTCCCACAAAGAAGCTCAGGCTCAGGTGGCTTCTCTGGCAAATTCTTTTTTTTTAAAGATTTATTTATTTATTAATTATTTGAAATACAGAGTTACAGAGAGAGAGAAGGAGAGAAAGAGAGAGAGAAAGATCTTCCATCTGCTGGCTCACTCCCTAAATGGCTGCAGCAACCAGGGCTGGGCCAGGCCAAAGTCAGGAGCCAGGAGCTTCTTCCAGGTCTTCCACATGGGTGCAGGGGCCCAAGCATTTGGGTCGTCTTCTGCTGTTTTCCCAGCCACATTATTAGGGAGCTGGATTGGAAGTGGATCAGCCGAGACTTGAACAGGCTCCCATATGGGATGCTGATGCTGCAGGCCGTGGCTTACCCTGGAGTGCCACAGTGTTGGCCCTTCTCTGGCAAATTCTATCAAGTACTTAAAATTTTAAAAAATTAAAAAAACTTTCACAAATTTATTTGAGAGGCAAAGGGGACTGAAATGGACAGAAACACAGAGAGAACTCTCATCTGCTGGTTACTTCCCAAATGTCTACAATGGTTGGAGCTGTGCTGGGACCAAAGCCAGAAACCAGGAATTAAGTGTAGGTATCCCAGAAGGGTGGGCTTGATTACCTGAAGTATTACCAGGGCCTCCCAGTGTCTACATTAGAAGGAAGCTGAAGTCAGCCACCGCAGCTAGGTAGCCAACCCAGGTACTCCAGTGTAGCGTGCAGTGTCTTAATGCCTAGGCTCAGTGCTTGCTCCCTAAACACTTGTCACTGATAGTAATGTGCACTCGCAATGTCTCTCCTTGCATAGTTACTCTTGTCTTGTAAACTGCCTTGTCTATACGTATGTACGCATAGTGGGAGCAGTGATGTATGCTGTATCAGCATTTCTCCACACGCTTCTTTTTACTGCCGTCTTCCTAGTTATCATAAGAATAGTCTTCCTAGTGATTATGCAATACCTATAAAATGTTACATTGTAGAGTTCGTATCAAACCATATTTTTAGTTCCTTTTGTGGTTATTTCAGATAACGTGGCGAGATTATTTGTCTTCTGAATTATTTCTGAAGAATAATTATTTCTTTGCAGTTACCTAAAACCCGTCATATTTAACAATTAGATGCCGTAGTTTTATGTAACTTTATTCCACATACATATGCAAACATATAATTTTATATAAATTAGTTCTTATGGCATGTATTGTTTTGATGTGGCTATGATCATTGAATTTTGGGGGATGCTGGTTGGGTCAACTACTGTCTGGCTAAAGCTATACCCCTTACCATAGGAAAATGTTAGCCTTACAAATATTTCTCCTCATTATCTTTTACAATCACATATTGATATGTATGTATGTATATATTATGTATAATATATATTATATATATTAAAATTTATTTATTTGAAAGGTTGAGCAGTTGAGAGGGAGAGAGAAACAGAGAGAAGACCCCTTCCATCCACTGGTTCACTGCCCACATGCCTATAACAGCCAGAACTGGGACAGGCCAAAGCCACGAGCCAGGAGCTTCACCCCGGTCTCCCATGGGAGGCCATGACTCAAGCACTTGGGCTATCTTCCACTGCTTTCCCAGGCATGTTAGCAGGAAGCTGGAGCAGACGCAGAGTGGCTGGGATCAGAATCAGAGCACCAGCATGGGAGGCCGGCAAGTGGCTGCCCAGCGTGAGCGTGCTCGTCCCAATAGGTTTATTTTTCTTTTATTGTTTACATATTCACACATACACACATAAACACACATACTGTGCAGCCCACTGTTCTTCCCCAGTTGGTTGTGGAAATCTATTTACCCCTCTTTTTTGGAAAAAAAAAATTTCATTTTTATTCAAAAGGCAGAGAGACAGAGATCTTCCATCTGCGAGTTTACTCTCCAAGTGCCTGCAGCAGCCGGGTGCCCAGCATTTGACCTGGGTCTCCCATGTAGGTGGTAGTGACTGAAGTGCTTAAGCTGTGATCTCCCACCTCCCAGGGTGTACGTGAGCCGGATACTGGATCAGAAGTAGAATAGCCAGAACTCCAAGCAGGCCCTCCAGTATGGGATGCAGTGTTCCAAACAGTGACTTAACCGTTGTGCTGAACATCACCTCACATTCTTTTTGTGGATGAATTTCTTGAACTGAAGTTGTGGAATTAGTGGATGAAAATATATCTATTTTTTTTATGCTGTTTCTCATGTCTCCCAATATTTTTTCTCTAAAATTCAGATTAGTATTGTTTACTAGAATTATTATGTGAGCCACATTTTAAATTATAAGTTTTCTAGTAGTCACATTAGGGAAGTAAAAAAAAAAACCACTAATTTTAGTAACATATGTAATCCAGTGCACGTAAAGTAGTATTCTTTCAACATGTAATCAGTATGAAAAATCACCAATGAGATATTTTATACTTTTTTTTTTTGCCACAAATGTGAAATGTGTGATGGTTTTGTTCCCAGAAACATTTCAGAAGTGATTTTGAAACTTAGCTTTTTTTTTTTTTTGGCTTATGACTAGTCTCATATATATTTTTTTAAATTAAATTTATTTATTGGAGAGAGAATGAGAGAATGTGTGCCCATTTGTTGGTTCATTCCCCAAATGTCCACAATGGCCAAGACTGGGCCTGGCTGAGGGTGGGAGTGTGGAACTAGATCCAGGTCTTCCATAAGGGTGCTGGGAACCCAGCTACTTGTGACATTTGGTCATATATTTTATAGTCTCAACACTGAATTTATGTTGCTTCAATTCTTCAGAACATGGATAGCCTACTATGTGCCACGAAAGTTCTTTGGACACATAGTAAATTCTTTTTATTTTCTTCATGAATAATACATTTACTGTCACCAGTTTTATATACTGAATAGTTTGGGTAAGTGTCATACCTTCCTTGTATGAGTAACAATAGGTAACATTTATCAGGATTTTCCTATCTCAAGCATTGTTTTATCCACTCCTTTCACTGGTACCATTGTAATCTAATTTTTCAGGTATGACTGTGGCACAGAGTTTAAGTTAATCTCCCTAGTTACATAGTTCATACACCACAAAGCTAGGACCAGTTTCCCAGAGTTTGAGCTTTGCTGTCTGTGCGCTGAAGTGCAAGGGTGGCACCTGCGTGGGAGGAGCTGGGATGGCATCGTGTTACTCCCTGGGCTGATGGTGGCTTTCCTCTCTCCTGAAGCATGGCCACGAGGAAGCCTCATTGATGTGGAAGCTGTCTCAGAGGCAAGAAAGTGAAGAAACTGTGGTAAGCAGAGTGTGTCCGTATACACGTGGCAGTCTGTCCGGACATGTACTGTGCCTCCTGCTTCCTTGCCTTCGTGTTACCATGTTATTAGTGTAACTCTTATTCCTTTCAGACATCAGGGCGTTAATATAAAGGATGCATGAGATTTGCATGTGAAATTTTATTTTCTCTTGTTTGAAAGTCTGGTCCTGTTGAAGGCAGTCTCGGTCGTGGGGCAGAGGTAGCCAGACTGCTGTGTGCAGCCTCAGTGTTCTTTGTGGAAGGGTGAGGGAGAGGTTTTGGAAAGATGTTTGCGGGGAAGAGGATTAGGTCGGGCGAACAGCCAGCCTTCTCACTGTGGCTCTGCCTTCAAATGGAAGAAGACTGGGAAAATCTGAAGAAAGAGAAGTCACAAAAGACATGATTCAGGCCATTGTTGGGAGAAACAGAGAAGGTCACATAATTTTCAGAAACGTGAAATCAGAGAGATCAAGGAACCACAGTACCCTGCTCTCCGCCCCCCGCCGTATCGCCCCTTCACCTAGCTGAGTGCCTGGCGCGTGGAGTGTGCTGCCATGTTTACTGAGTGGATGAGTTGCAGTTTCAAAATGCTGGCCAGACACAGGATGTGGTAGAGTCCCGATCATCCTGAGTTTGAACATGAATATAAAGTGTGATGTTTACTAGTTTTTGTTTAAGACTCCTGTGGTAGCTAAGATATGGAGCGAACCTAGGTGTCTCCATACGTGGATGAACAGATGGACAAAAATGTGGAAGTTATACACAATGGAATATATTCAGTAACAACAACAAAATGAAATCCTATCATTTATGGCAAAAAGGGTGGAACCAGAGGACATTCTGTTAAGTGAAATAGGCCAGACACAGAAGACAGATACCACATGTTCTCTCTTGCTCATACATGGAAACTGCCAAAGTGGATTCAGACAAGTAGAGAGTAGAATGGTGGTCCCTCGAGGCTAACAGGGGACTAGTGGTGGGAGGGATGGAGGAGGTTGTCTCAGGGGTACCAATACACAAACAGGAGTGCAGGTTCCCGTCTTCTCAGCACAGTAGGTGATGGTCCCAACAGCTTATTGTATGATTTATAAAGAACTAGGAGAGAGAGATCTTGAATGTTCCCAGCACAGAGAAATGATACATGTTTAAGGAGATAGAAATACTAATTACTTTGACTTGTTCATTATACATATTGCATTATAGTGTATCACATAAATGTTACATTTCAATAAAAAGATTTCTTTACAGGTGAAAGTATATAACATTTGTTTTTGTTTTTCTTATCAGTAGATATTATTTGTACAACAAATACAGTATTATCATTCAATGTAATGTGTCATGATTTGATAGAAAAGTATGCCAAAAGAATTTGCATTAATTTTTTTTTAAGATTTATTTTTTTATTTGAAAGGCAGAGTTACGGAGAGGCAGAGACACAGAGAGAGAGAGAGAGAAGTCTTCTATTCGTTGATTGACTTCCTAGGTTGCTGCAATGGCTAGAGCTGCACCAATACAAAGCCAGGAGCCAGGAGCTTCCTCTGGGTCTCTCACACGAATTTGCTGGGGGCCCAAGGACTTGGGCCATCTTCCACTGTTTTCCCAGGCTACAGCTGGATTGAGAGCTGGATTGGAAGCGGAGCAGCTGGGACTCGAACTGGTGCCCTAATAGGATGTCGGCACTGCAAGCAGTGGCTTTACCTGCTACGCCACACTGTCAGCCCCCCTTTGATTTGTATTTTATGACATGTTTAAAGAACATTTCTAAATTTACAACAAGACTGAGAGAAAGGTACCTTTCTCTGTTTCCACTTTGTCCTCACTCATGCATAGCTTCTCCCATTATCAGTATCCCTCATTAGACTGATACTCTTTGCTTCAGTTGAAAAACATAAATTGACACATCATCACTCAAAGTCCATGGTTTGCATTAGGATTTACTTTTTGGTGTTGTAGATTCTATGGTTTTGGACAAGTGTATAATGGCGTGAATTACTAGGAATTGAATCTAGCTTTAGCACTAATGTTCCTTCGTCAGCAAAAGGAGCATATGTTGGAAGTGATGGTAATAAAATCATACTTGCAAGTTTGGGTCCAGATGAGGAGAGTGCTTATCGTATTTAAGGAGAACACAGTGGGTGCAAGTGTCTGAATGTGTTCTAGCCATGATTTTCAATGTAGTTTCAGTTTTGCTGAATTGGTTAAGCTAGGATTATAGGAATGTAAAATTGTGACCCACATTCTCATTTTCTCTGCTTATGTGTTTCTTGCTGGAATGCAGGGTGAAGCACCATCGGCATAGCAAAGATGACTCAAAACTACTCTTTTTTTTATCTTTTATTTAATAAATTTCCAAAGTACAGCTTTTGGATTACAGTGGCTTTTTCCCCCCATAACCTCCCTCCCACCCGCAAAAACTGTTCTTTTGCAGTTACCGCTACCTCTTTTTCTTTGCTCCATTCCCTAGTGTTTTTTTTTTTTTTTAAAGATTTATTAATTTTGTGAAAGAGCAGCAGAGGAGGGAGGGAGAGCCTTTTGTCCACTGGCTCATCCCAGTTGGCTGTAGTAGCTGGGGCCGAGCCAGCCCAAAGCCAGTAGCCAGAAACTCCATCCAGGTCTCCCTTTGTGGGTGGCAGGGGCCCAAGTACTTTGGCCATCTTCCTGTGTTTTCCTGGGCGCGTTAGCAGGAAGCTGGATTGGAAGCAGAGCAAGTGGGACTTGTGCTTTGAAATGAATGCTGGTTGCTAGTGTTGTGAGTGGCAGTTTAAACCACTGCAGCGCAACCCCAACCCCACAATTTAAAAATAATATTTTATTTGAGAAAGTATGTGGGGGGTGGGGAGAGAAAGAAAGCCAAGAAAATGAAGGAAAGAAAGAAAAGAAAAGAAACAGAGCTCCTTTCTAGTGGTTCCCTCCCCGTATGCTACCAGTAGCCTAGGCTGGGGCTGGAGCCCGGAGCAGGCCTGCAGTACAGCCCCTCTGTGTGAGCGGCAGGAGCCCCATGACTTGAGCTGTCACCGGTGCTTCCTAGGGTCAGCCTTGGCAAAAAGCTGGGATCGGGAGCTGGAGCTGCACTCCAGGGTCGGGTGCAGGCGTCCTAACCGCTGGGCTGGTTGCCAGCTGCCCTGTATCTGAATTCCTGACCTACACTGTTGTCTTGTTCTCTGAAGAACGTACGGCCTGGCAGAGCAGAGTCCGTTTTCCCTCTTCCCGTTAAGTGCACGTCACCACCCCAGATTCTCGTGGTGGCCTCTGCACGACTACTGCTCAGTGTTCTGCCAGCCTCCTGGTCCTTGGTTTGGTGTCCAACAGACACCAAATTTGGGGAGATTTCCAGTCATTGCTTGACACTTCTCTTTTGTTCCTTTCTCTGTTGTTCCTCTGATACTCCCGTTACACACGTGTTACCCCTTTTGTAGGAATCGCACAGTTTTGGTCCGTTTTGTCCTCTTTAAGGCTTTGTTCATTCACTTGCGTTTCCGTTCTGAAGGTTTCAGCCGAGATACCCTCACGCTCGGAGGTTTTTCTCCCTCAGCTGTCCCTGAGCTGCTTCTTCCCGTTCTGCTCCTGAGCCCGTCAAAGGCACTCCTCGTTTGTGTTGCAGTGTCTTTGATCCCTGACTTTGAGGTTATTCCCTGTAGTCTCTCTCTCTCTATCGATCTGTTATTGTGTGCTGTCCATACACCCCTGGTCTGATATTCCGGTATCTTTGCCGTGTCAGGAACTCATGCTGCGGCTGTCTCTTCAAGCTGGACGTTGTCCCTTTCAGTGTGCCCTGTAGTGTTTTCTCGGTAGCGGGCTATGTTGTCACGGGCAACAGGAGGTGGGTGGTGAGGTGTGGGGGAGGGGAAGCACTGTCGTCCTGCCTGCGTCTCCTACTAGTGTGTTTCTTGGTCCCCTCTGGGTGGGCCAGGATGGTGTGCGTGAACTGGACGTGGCTGTTTCCCGTCCTGGTTTGGTCAGGCTCTGATGAGACCGCAGCAGGTTAGGCTCTGGCTAAGTCGGTTCTCCAAGGGCAGGCCTTGTGAAGCACAGAAAGCTCCGGCCTATTCCAGGGTGGTCCCCCCTCCCCTCGTGCCCCCCAGAAGCACAAGGGGCTTCCCTCCTGCAGTCACCTATAAAGTTCACAAGCACGTGCCGTGCATCCGTGATTGGGCCCCACGTGCCTGCCCTGGGCCACACCTGCTGAGCAGTTTCAGCTGAGGTTTTCCTGCACTGACGCTGGCTCCAGCAGCAGGGACTCCCTGCACTTTGCCTGCTGTCTCTCCACGCTTGGGGGCAGCAGTTTGCCCTGTGCCTGCTCCTCTCTTACAGATCCTAGTCAAGTCTTGTGTATTTCTTCATTTTATTTCCTAAGCTGTTTGCCCATGAAACTAGAAACTGAAAGTCTCAAAAAAAGTACACTGAGGGCTGGCGCTGTGGTGTAATGGGAAAAGCTGCTTCCTGCAGTGCCAGCATCCCATGTGGACACGGTTTAAGTCCCTGCTGCCCCACTTCTGATCCAGCTCTCTGCTTTGGCCTGGGAAAGCAGTGGAAGATGGCCCAAGTCCTTGGGCCCCTGCACCCTTGTGAGAGACCCAGAAGAACCTTCTGGCTCCTGGTTTTAGATCAGCACAGCTTCAGCCTTTGCGGCCGTCTGGGGAGTGAACCACTGGTTGAAGACCTCTCTCTCTCTCTGCCTCTGCCTCTATGTAACTCTGCCTTTCAAATAAATAAATTTTTTTTTTTTTGACAGGCAGAGTAGACAGTGAGAGAGAGAGAGAGAGACAGAGAGAAAGGTCTTCCTTTGCCGTTGGTTCACCCTCCAATGGCCGCCGCGGCCAGCGCACCGCGCTGATCCGAAGCCAGGAGCCAGGTCCTTCTTCCTGGTCTCCCATGGGGTGCAGGGCCCAAGCACTTGGGCCATCCTCCACTGCACTCCCTGTCCACAGCAGAGAGCTGGCCTGGAAGAGGGGCAACTGGGACAGAATCCGGTGCCCCGACCGGGACTAGAACCCAGTGTGCTGGCGCCGCAAGGCGGAGGATTAGCCTAGTGAGCCATGGCGCCGGCCAATAAATAAATCTTAAAAAAAAACAAAACAAAACAAAAAACAACAACAACAAAAAAACCCTGTAGGTCCGTTTTTCCTGCAAAGTATTTGCTCACAGTAAAACTTCACCTCCCACCCTCCCGTAGCGAGGTGTCCTTGGCCATCCTCGTAGATACGTAGGCGTACAGGAACTTCTCATGCTGGAAGGTCAGAATTGAATATCCAGACGTGAGTGACACCGCAGCTGCGTGGTGGTATAATCGATTGATGGCGTTGCTTACTGCCGTCAGTTTGGTGCTGGAGACGAGCATTCCCCTCCTAGGTGACAGATGGGGCAGCTGAGCGCTCCGCCAGCCTCCTGCCTGAGTCCCAGGTCTGCGCGTGCATCTTCTGCCCCTCGCCCTCGCTATGCTCAGGCCGCCCTGACTTCCCTCTTCCCTCCGCCCCCTCTGAGTGTGCTCGCGCTCTCACGTCCATGTGTTGGCTGATGACACTGGTGTAGTCCAGGTTCTGAATATGGAAGCCCGGGAGAGCAGGATCATTTTCCCTTCTTCCCCTTAAGTCCAAGTCACCCTTGTTACAGCTTCTTGTGGCGGCCGCTCCACTCTCCTTGTTCTAGTCCTTCCCTCTGTGTTCCGTGTCCGTCTTTCTTCAGGAACCAGAATGATCCCATGGTGGGGTTCTTGCCTCCTGCGGATGGACATGCGGGTTCTGTGAGCGGTCTGTGGCGTGTTCTGATGGTCTGCAGGAGGGACGGGGTGTTCAGGTCCACGTGCGGGTTCTGTGACCTGTCTGTGGCGTGTTCTGATGGTCTGCAGGAGGGGTGGGTTCTGTGAGTGGTCTGTGGCCTGTTCTGATGGTTTGCAGGAGGGGTGGGTTCTGTGAGTGGTCTGTGGCGTGTTCTGATGGTCTGCAGGAGGGGTGGGGTGTTCAGGTCCCTTTCCTAGAAGGGTGCTTGTGAACCCCCCGTGAGTCCAGGGACACAGGAGGGATAGCAGATGCTGACCTGAGGGTGACAGTCGTGACAGGAGGGGAAGGGGCCAGGAGACACGTGGGAGCCGACTGTCAGGTTGGCATGGGCAGGGCAGAGCCTGGAGGATTCCTGGGGTTTGGGTAGGTGGATGATACCAGTACGTAGGAAGTGGAAGAGCAGATGTAAATAAAGGGAGGGACAGCTTTTGAGGGAAAGCCTGAATTCTCCAGATGTTTACTGCATTTCTGCCATCCTCTTAGCCTGGAAACCTGCACCCATATTTCTACTCCGTTTCCCTGACAAACTCTCACCTAGCAGACCAAGATGGTGTGCAGCCTCCCACCCCTCCAGGCCTGGCCCAGCATGCGTGCCTCCATCTTACCCCTTGGTGGAGTGGAAGGTGATTAGCCCGGTGCTCTCTGACCCAGTGCCTGGCAGGATCTGGGCAGCCTGTCCGTGGAAAGGAAGGGGCCGTGGTGCCGTGAGACTTCTCAGTCAACGTTTCCATCCTTTGGGAGGTCTGACAGTTCAGGCGGGACTGGGCTGACTGTGGTTCTTGAGCATGCGTTTCTGTGTATGTGTTCCTAACACTGCAGATGAAACCATCAGTAGGGAATGCATTCATGGGTGAGAAATGGATTGCTGCACACTTAGATTTCTGTGTATAACACATTATTTTTGCTCCTCAAAATTATAGTTTTCTTAAAAGGCTGTTTGTTAACCATTTTCTTCTTTTAGTCATATCTGTAAATTAACAAAGGTATTTCTTGCAAGAATTCAGTTAGCCTTTGTTGGTTTTATAAATACTTATATTTTAAAATTTTCAAAGTCAAGTGAATCTCAGAAAGCATATAGTTTCCCAGCCTATTTACAAATTTCAAGTTTATGATTGATTTTTTTTCATGCTTTATTTTTACCTCTAGGAAATTGAAAAAGAAGACATTGATTTAGAAAATACTGAAGCTGATGAGTATACACCCAGTTTTGAAGGTGATTTTGAAGTATGTATAAAAGTTAAAGTTTTTCTGCTTAAACATAATTCATTCTTAAAAGTTAGCATATGTGAAGTATTATAGCTTTTTTCTCTCTTAATATTTTTAATATCCAGTATCTGACTAGATTTGCTTTAGGTCTGTCTGTAACTTTTGAAAAATTGACTGTACTTATGGAAATGCTTACTAATATGATATAAATAAGGGACTTTAAAATTTAGTCCATTTTTATGTGTACAGCATTCAAATATGTGTGTGTGTAACTGTATGCAAATAAACACTTTTCAGATTCTTGGCACAGCGGTTGTATATTGTGCAGTTCATTTTTAGAGAAATAAGTGCAGTTTATAGAACTATATAATTCAATGATATTAAAATCAGTGAACTATAAAAGTCTGTCTTAGCCATAATAAGGACTCTATTTTAAATTAGAAATTGTAATGTTTTCTTCAGTACAAGTGCTACTTAAAGTGTTCCAAAAATGTTGTTATTATAGGACTATGAAGATGACTTTGAGGTTTGTGATGGAGATGACGATAGTAATAATGAGACTGAATCAAAAGAAAACATCGAAGAACTTCCTCCGGCCCGCAAAAAGGAAATCCAAGAAATTCAGAAAGCCATTAATGCAGAAAATGAAAGGGTTGGCGAGTTGTCCTTGAAACTGTCTCAGAAGCAAGGTCGAGTGGATTGTACCAGGGAGTCCAGGGCAGGTAAATGATGGTGTCCATGCTCATATGTCTGTGTAGGACCTGTTACAGACAGGGTCCCTGTAATCAGGTGGGCAGATAAGTAGCATTTTGTCCATTGGGGTGATGCTGTGCCCTTTTGATCTGTGAGACGTTGAAGAGCCTTGAATCATGTGGGTGTTAGGGACCGTCTAATGGAAGAAGTTTCTCTCTGGCACCCGAGGCCTGAGGGTGGCCGTGAGCACGTGTCAGGTGCCCGTCAGTGTGCAGTGTACTCATTTTTCCAACGTAATCAGTTCTTGCTCAGTCTGTGAGTGTAAGCTCTTGTTTTCCCGATTGGCCTGAGTTTTCACTAAGGGAGCAGTCGTGGTTACCAGCAGGAGACTCAGAGATGCCAGCAAATGAGAGTCATTGTGAGCAGGCCGCAGACCGAGGGGGCAGCATGGCCGTGAAGGCTCAGCAGCGCGGCTCGGCAACGCTGGTCACGAAGAACGTTTCTCACTGAGCCTTTTGTCCCCCCAGAGGTTTTGGTTAGGAGTTTAGAAATACGTTTCAACCCCCAGATCTTGGCATCTGGGTATGATAAGTTACTTGTGCGAATAGAACAGGAAACAGTCGAATGATGCATAACAACATTTTGATCAGTGACATATTGAATGTACGACGGTGGCACCGTAATTCTGTCACTTAGTGATGCATTGTTGAGGTTGTAGCTGTCACGTTTGTGTCAGTGCACTCTCTGATGTCTGCCCAGAGATGAAATCGCCTGAAGAGGCAGTTCTTAGAATACGTCTTCATCACTGAGTGACGATGGCTGTGACTGTTTTAGAGTGACTGAAGGAAAAACAGCTAAAAAAACCTAGCACTGAAAGTAAAATAAAATAATAGTATAGGGGTACACTACTTTTATTCATCTAGTAAAATAATGATGAAAACAATGAATCACGATTAGTAATTATGAGTGTAATGTAACTGCAGGAGGAGCACCAACAGGGAGATCAGTATTCTGATTTTGTGTCTGCTACAGAGGTAGTGAAACCCCATGGCAAGCGCTGAATTTAGACTATTCTGTAAACTTACAGCTGAAAGCCTCTGAAGCCAGGGGTGCCTGTCCTGGCAGCGTTAAGGATCTGCCTTCGTTTTGTCTGTATTGTGTTCATTAGCCTGTCCTGGGCAGGTGTCCAGGCCTGGCTGCCTGCCTCTGCTGTGGAGGAGCATGTGCAGAGGAGTGTGCAGCAGGATGTCAGGACCGCGTTCCGGTCCTGCCGGAGCTCAGAAGTTGCTGAGAAGGTGGCGTCTGGGTGCACAGGTTCAGCTGCCACCTGCGACTCCCGCATCGTGTACTCGAGAGCTGGTGTGCGTCCCGGCTGCCTCACTTCCCATCCAGCTCCCTGCAGATGCACCAGCGAAGGCAGCAGAAGGTGGCCAAAGTGCACGGGCCCCTGGCACCGTGTGGGAGACCTGGATGGAGCTCCTGGCTCCTGGTTTTGCCTGGCCCAGCTCAAGCCATTGCAGCCATTTGGGGAGTGGACCAGTGGATAGAAGATGTCTCTCTTCCTTCTGTAACTCTGCTTTTCAAATACTTATACACATACATTAAGTCTTTTTTTAAAAGTTTATTACTTTAAAAAAAGTTTTTAAAGTCTGAGATGTGAGCAAGATGTTTTTTAAAGTTCTCAATTTTCTTAGCAGATCTGTTTAGTTCATCAAATTATTGCTGAAGAGGTTATGATCACATGAGTGACTTTAATATTGTGTTCCTGTGCTGGATTGTATTTCATAATTTTGTCCTTTTAATGTCTGCAATTCTAAACCCTTTGACAAGTTTTAGTAATATCTAGGTTGCTAGTTCTGCTTCAGTTTCCTTTTCATCATCTTCCTTTTCTTCTTGAGATGACTCAGCAAATTTTTTTGTTTGAAAGGCAAAGGTACAGAGAGAGAGAGAGAAAGATATTGAGGGAGATCTTCATCCATGGATTCACTCTCCAGATGGCTACAGTGGCTGGGCTGGACCAGGTGAAAGCCAGGAGCCCCTAACTCCATCCAGGTCTCCCCCGGGGTGCAGGGGCCCAAGCACTTGAGCCATCTTCTCTGTCTTCCCAGGCGCACTAGCAGGAACTGGATTGGAAGTGCAGAAGTTCAGATTCCAGCTGGCACTCCTACGGGGTGCTGGTGATACAGGTAGCAACTTAACCTGTTGCACTTCAACACCAGACCCAGCAAATTCTTTAACTTCCTCATTGGCTAACACTTCCTGATGGCCTTCAATAGGTTGTCCACTTCTCTGTCACCCCTGTTGACAGACTTTTTCCCACCAGCTTGTCTTGCTGCACACAGGGTTTTCCTGACTTCTCTGTCAGTCCCCAGCAGCCTTTAAAACTCAATTATACTCTTTAAGTTCTTCCAGTAGGAATTTAGTTTCTGATTTTCATTTATCCATTGAAGCTTTGATGAATGGCATTGCATCAGCCGTAGAGAATATTCCAGCACTGTTTTGTGTTTAAATTGAAATCTGCATCAAGTGTTGATCCAATGTGATGAGATACAAGTATGTGTATGTGTCCATGACAAATCAAACAGGGTCCTGGTCATGGAGCTGCAACAGTGGGGTAAAAATGCAACCTTGACGTTTTTATTCTCATAGCAGATAGTTTCAGGATGGCCAGGTGCAGTGACTTTTATTAAGAAGACTTTAAATCCTAACCCTTCTAAGCAGTACTTGCTTCTAGGATAAAGTATTGACGAAACCATTCCATCAACAAGATGGCTGTCATTCTTGATTTGTGATTATGTCGCCAGGACACAGTGAAATAATCACGTTGGTGTTTCTGAGAGTGGTGTGTCCTTCACTCAGTACCCTGTGCCTGGCTTTATCATACGCCCTGTGGGGTTACCACATGTTTTATGCTCTCATTGCCTCTTTTGCAGTTTTGTGAATTTTTTTTTGCACTTTGGTGGGTTCTGTTTTGCATCTTCTTCCAGTGCAGTTAAAGACCAGCTTTGGATGGCATTCTCCTTAACCAGCTTGTTCAGTCTGTTAGAAGTGTGGCAGCAGCTTCCGCACTGAGATAGCCTCTCCAGGAATTGTTATATTTTTAGTCCATCCCTGTTCCTGAGTCTGTTGTAACCATCCCTCACTTGCAGTCAATGGCTTGCAGTCACTTCTTTCTGGGCATCTCTCACTGACGTCATACGTACGCTCAGTTCTGTTCTGTTCTTTTCTTTCTTTTTTTTTTTTTTGACAGGCAGAGTTAGACAGTGGGAGAGAGAGACAGAGAGAAAGGTCTTCCTTCCATTGGTTCACCCCCTAAATGGCCGCTATGGTCGGTGAGCTGCGCTGATCCGAAGCCAGGAAGCAGGTGCTTCCTCCTGGTCTCCCATGGGGTGCAGGGCCCAAGGACTTGGGCCATCCTCCACTGCACTCCCTGGCCACAGCAGAGAGCTGGCCTGGAAGAGGGGCAACCAGGACAGAATCCGGCGCCCCAACCAGGACTAGAACCCGGTGTGCCGGCGCCGCAGGCGGAGGATTAGCTTAGTGAGCCGCGGCGCCGGCCTGCTCAGTTCTTTCTGCTGTGTGTTGCTGTCCATGTCCATGCCTACACACAAATTTAATGCCTTCTCCGTATTAACTAAGCTCTTACCATGTACTGTGGGTATAATTTTCGCAGTTTGAGGAGTCACAGCAAAACCAGCAGTTTTTTTTTCTTCACAATTTCATGGGTAGACTTGTTCCTACTGTAGATCCGAGCAGCCTCAGCATATGATTTTTTCCCCTTGTAAGGCATGTTCACCTTTTCACTTACAGGAAGGACGTTATCACTTCTCTTTGGCCTGTCTGAATTGCCAGCACTTCTATTCTTGCACTTCGGGGCTGTTACTAAGGAAAATAAAGGTTCCTGGAACACAAGCACTGTGATGCCAGGATGGTTGATCTGATAAAATGGCTGCCAAGTCTTTAATGTTGGCGGGTGGGTATACAGAGTGGGTACACTGGACAAAGGGATGAGTCACATAGTGGGAAGGGTAGGACAGGGTGGCACAAGATTTTATCACACAACTCAGAGCAGCCTAAAATTTAAAGCTAATGAATTGTTTCTCGAATTTCCATCTAATAATGAAAGATTTCAGCTGACCATGGGTACTGAAACTATGTAAAACAACTATAGGTAAGGGAGGTCTACTATATATATATATATATAATCTTTTATATTTTGGGGATAGTGGAGGAACCTATGACTGAGTTGGATCTGTCTTAAGTATTTTTAAAGGGGCTCGCCCCTCTGCCTGCAGTGCTGGGATCCCATATGGGCACCAGTTCTAGTACCGGCTGCTCCTTTTCTGATCCAGCTCTCTCCTATGGCCTGGGAAAGCAGTAGAAGATGGCCCAAGTGCTTGGGCTCCTACAGTCGTGTGGGAGACACGGAGGAAGCTTCTGACTCCTGGCTTCAGATCAACCAATGTCTGGCCTTTGTGGCCATTTGGGGAGTAAACCAGCAGATGGAAGACCTTTTTCTCTTGTCTCTCCATCTCTCTGTAACTCTACCTTTCAAATAAATACAATCTTTAAAAAACTATTTTTAAAAGCTAGAGTAGTGTGATTGTACATACAGTAGATGATCAGTAAAATTTGCTTTGTTGCCTGAAAGTTTTAGATGAATTAAACAGGACAAACCTCTTAAATGTGCTTGACAGATGTTTAGCATTGCTGTCATTAGTTTCGGGTAAAGAACTTGTGGAATGTCATTGTTACATATTCTTCTGTCTTATTCTTGTCTTTTTTTCCTTGAAAGAAATACTTCAGTATCACCTAATTAGCTCTTTTCCCCTGGTACAGATGGGAATAATTCTCCTTCCAGAGCCCCTGTTTGTGGAATTTTTGTGGATTTTGCAACAGCCTCACACCGCCAGAAGAGTAGGACTCAGGCCCTTAAGCAAAAGTAGGTATTTTGGGAAGTTTGCCAAAGGATTATGGAATTGTAATACAGTTTGCTTCAGTGTACTTAAAAAAAAAGCTTTTTCTTTTCTTTATTTAAAAAAACTTTTAAAGGTTTTTATTTATTTATTTCAAAGGCAGAGTTACAGAGAGGCAGAGAGAGAGGGAGGTCGTGTATCCGCTGGTTCACTCCCCAAATAGCCGCAAGGCCAGAACTGGGCTGATCCAAAGCCAGGAGCCAGGAGCTTCTTCTGGGTTTCCCACGTGGGTGCAGGGGCCCAAGGACTTGGGCCATCTTCTACTGCTTTCCCTGGCCATAGCAGAGAGCTGGATTGGAAGTGGAGCAGCCGAGAGTCAAACTGGTGCTCATATAGGATACTGGCACTGCAGGTGGAGGTTTAACCCAGTACTCCACAGTGCCAGCCCACTCTGTTTTCTCTGTTGGCTGTTTAGGTGTATCCTTTAATTTGTGCCACATTTATCTTTGCGTTTAGATATTAGGCTGGTAGTGCGAGTATGTGTACTGGTGTCTTAGATGTTTGACATCTGATGTTTGTTGTTAAATTTGTGGCTGGCTATTGAGGAGTTACCCTGGGAGTCTGTTTTGGCTGAGGCGGAATCACAGTCGCACTTCACTAAGCTGGGGGCCAGAAACCCCCAAGGGGACAGTAAGTGTGGCTCTTGTAACGTGGCTTCTCAGTTGGCATTGTTGTCACTGAAGGCCAGTTAATGTCAGTCCTGCTGTATCCTTGTGAGTTCAGTATCACTGCATCTGTGTCTCACTTGACGAAGCTAAGGAAATTAGAAATGATTAAGAATACTCGTATTAGATAATACTTGAGTTGAGTGCTTTTGTATTTTTTTTTAAAGATTTTATTTATTTGAGAGGCAGAGTTATAGACACAAAGGGGAGAAAGAGAGAAAGGTCTTCCATCTGCTGATTCACTCCCCAGATGGCCACAGCAGCCAGAGCTCCGCTGATCCAAAGCCAGGAGCCAGAAGCTTCTTCCAGGTCTCCCACACGGGTGCAGGGGCCCAAGGACTTGGGCCATCTTCTACTGCTTTCCCAGGCCATAGCAGAGAGCTGGATGGGAACTGGAGCAGCAGGGAATTGAACCGGTGCCCATATGTGATGCTGGCACTGCAGGCAGTGGCATTACCTGCTATGCCACAGCACCTGCTCCACTTAGGTATTTTATGTGTGTAGCTTGGAGTGCTGCTTTATGTGTATTACCTCAGATTCCTTAGCAGCCCCATTTTAGAGATAAGAAAGAAAAGGCTCAAGGTCAAAATGTAGTGACTGGTAAAGTTGAGGTTTTTCTTTTTTTAAGATTTATTTATTCATTTGAAAGAGTTAGAGAGAGAGACAGAGAGAGAGCATCTGTCTGCTGGTTCACTCCCCAAATGGCCACAATGGCCAGGGTGGAGCTGAGCTGAAGTCAGGATCCTGAAGCTTATTACCAGTCTCCCACATGGGTGCAGCGGCCCAAGCACTTTGGCCATCTTCTGCTTCTTTTCCCAGGCCATTGGCGGGGGGCTAGATTAGAAGTGGAGCAGCCAGGACATGAACTGGCATCCATAATGGGATACTAGCATTGCAGGTGGTAGCTTTACCTGCTGTGCCACAACGCCATCCCCTAGAATTGAGTTTTGAACCTAGGACTGCCAGACATCAAGGTCCAAGCTTCTAATTACTGTAAATTTAGAATTTTATACAAGATATTTTTAAGCCAAGGGTTTCTTGTGCTAAACTCAAATATTTTTAAGGCTTAAATGAAAAAAAAACAAAAAAAACCAAAAAAAAACTCTATACCTTCCAGCTCACTGAATGGCCTTGGTAAATAGTGTGTAAATATTTGCTAAAGGAACAATAAACCATTACTGATAAAATTAACAGTTTTCACAGGATTTTTGTTGGCCTTATATTTTGGGCATCCTATTGAAGCAGTAAAACTAAAGTTCTCTTTTGTTGTTTGTTTTTTAAACCTGATTCTGAGAAAATTGCATAACAGAATGCTTAACAGGATGCTCTTTTTTATTTTATTTTCTTAAAGATTTATTTTACTTTTTTGAAAAATAGAGTTACAGAGAGAGAGGGGGAGAGACAGAAGTCTTCCAACCTCCGGTTCACTCCCCAGATGGCCACAACGGCCAGAGCTGCGCTGATCCGAGGCCAGGAGCCAGGAGCTTCCTCCAGGTCTCCCACGCAGGTGCAGGGATCCTAGCACTTGGGCCACCCTCCACTGCTTTTCCAGGCCACAGCAGAGAGCTGGATCGGAAGTGGAGCAGCTGGGTCTCGAACCAGCACTCATATGGGATGCTGGTGCTGCAGGCCATGGCTTTAACCCACTGTGCCATAGCGCCGGCCCCCAGAATGCTCTTTTTTTTTCTAATTATTTTTTTATTTGAAAGAATTAAAAGAGTAATTAAATGGGGCCAGCACTGTGGCATAGCCTGTAAAGCTGCTGCCTGCAGTGCCGGCATCCCATATGGCCGCTGTTTAGAGTCCCGGCTGTTCCACTTCTGATCCAGCTCTCTGCTGTGGCCTGAGAAAGCAATGGAAGATGGCCCAAGTCTTTGGGCCCCTGCATCCTAGTGGGAGACCTAGAGAAAGCTCCTGGCTCCTGGCTCTTGGCTTTGGATCAGCACAGTTCTGGCCATTGCAGCCATCTGTGGAGTGAACCATTGAATAGAAGACACCTATCTCTCTCTCTCTCTCTCTCTCTCTCTCTCTCTCTCTCTCTCTGCCTCTCTGCCTCTCTGCCTCTCTGCCTCTCTGTAACTCTGACTTTCAAATAAATTACTTAACAGCATAGCACAAAAATTGAAGGAAATGAAGGGGGATACTTAGTTGTTGTAAGGTCCTGACAGAAAGAGGTAAAAGTACTTAAGGGAGATTTTAATAGGGTAGGAATGCATGTTAATATATGTAGGGTACTTATTAAAAGGTTAAAAGGTACTGGAAAAATCTCATAACTAACAGCCCGTACTGTTAAACTACCTAGCTAACAAACTGTACCTAACATAACATTGAAAATTACACTTGGGGCCGGCATTGTGGTGTAGGGGATTAAGCTGCCAATGCAGTAAATTATTCCATATGGGTGCTGGTTTGAGTCCCGCCTACTCCACTTCCAGTCAAGCTACCTGCTGATGCACCTGGGAAAGCAGCAGAAGATTGACCCAGGCACTTAGGCCCCTGTACCCATGTGGGAGAAGTGGATGAAGCTCCTGGCTCCTGGCTTTGGCCTGGTCCAGCTCTGGCTGTTGCAGCCATTCTGGGAGTGAACCAGTGGAAAGAAGATCTCTCTCTCTTTCTCAGTCTCTCCTCTCTAACCTTGCCTTTCAAGTAAATAAATAAATAAGTAAATAAATCTTAACAAAAGAAAAACTTATACCTAACACTGTTTTAGAAATATATATTGTTTTATTTATTTGAAAGAGTGACAGGGAGAGAGGGAAGGAGGGAGGGAGAGAGAGAGAGAGAGAGAAAGAGATTTCCCATCCACTGATCACAATCCCCAAATACCTGCAACAGCTAAGGCTGGACTAGGCTGAAGCCAGGAACCTAGAATTCCATCCTGGTCTCCCACATGGGTGGTTGGGGCCCAAGTACTTGGGCCATCTTCTGCTGTCTTCCCAGGCAAGTTAACGGGAAGCTGAATGGGAAGCGAAGTAACCAAGACTTGAGCTGGCGCTTTGATACGGATGCTGACGTTGCAAACAGCGGCTTAACCTGCTGCTCCACGTGTTGGCGCCTGCCATGTTCTTTTCAGTCCATATTCTTTTCTTAGCAAAAGGTCATATGATGCTGGGATTGAAACAGTACAGAATATGTTTTCTTACCACAGTGGAATTATGCTGAAAACTTTAATAAGCAGATAATTAGGAAATTCCCCAAAGTTTGAAAATTAAGCATTATAGTTTTTAATAAACTGTGAGTCAAAGAAGAAATCAGGAGGGGAATTACAAACTATTTTTAACAATGATAATAAAAACCAACATGCTCAGTACCGTGCCTGTGGGATGCAGCTGAAGCTAAACCTAGAGACGCCTATCAGAATATGAAGAGGCTGTAAATCGTGATGTGAGCATCCGTCTCAAGAGGTTTGTCAAAGAGACACAAATGGTACGTTAAAGGAGTTAGTTAGCAGGAGCAGAATTTTGTAAAATTGAAAACAGTTTTAATAAATCCAGCAAAACCAAAATTGTTAGCAAAGATTTGTAAAGTTTCCTTTCCTATCTGGAATGAGGCATTTGGATGTGTGCTGCTTTCTTTCTGTTCAACATTGTACACGGTTCTAGCTACAATTAGGCAAGAAAAACAAATTAATCTCACAAATAGTAATAATGTAAAATTGAAACTGTCCATTGCAGTGTGTTTCTGCATAGATGTGAGTCTAGAGCTGTGAGTCACTAGAATTTATGAATAAATGTGACGAATGACAGCAAGGGTACTGGGCAAAAGGGTGATATGCAGCAGTCAGCGGTGTCTCTGTGTATTACTGAATTGTCACCATTTACAGCAGGACTAGGATGAATGTAATGGAGTACATGTAAAAACCTCAGTACAGAGAATTTAACAGATACGACTGAAATTTAACAGATATGACTGAAATTTAACAGATATGACTAAAATTTAATAGATATGACTGAAATTTAACAGATACGACTGAAATTTAACAGATATGACTGAAATTTAACAGATATGACTAAAATTTAACAGATATGACTGAAATTTAACAGATATGACTGAAATTCAGGGAAACCCAAATAAGGGGTAGAGATCATGTTCTTGAAAGGAAGGTCTCACAGTGGCAGTGGTGTTGGTTCTCCCACCGAAGTGTGGGTTCTGCACCGTCGCGTTCGGAGTCTCAGCAGAGCGGGGGTTCTCACATCTTAGAATGCTGCTTCTAGAACTCCTGGAGATACAGAGGGTCAGGACTAGCACATCCTGAGGCAGAGAACAGAGCTAAGGCCTTGCGCTCAGCTATGAAGGTTTCTTGTAAAGCACAGGGAGTAAGCTGTGTTACTGCACGGGGAGAGAGGAGCAGACCAGTGCACAGACCGGGCAGTTCAGGAGCAGACACGTGCGTGTGATCACCTGACTCGTACGTTGCTAGTGCAGCGTGGTGGGGGAGGGGTGGTCTTTTCCGTGGAAGACTCTGGAACAATTAGATGCATGTGTGGAAACAGAGGAACCTGTGCCCCCTGCTTGTACCCCACATAGTCGGGGAGGGTGGTGAGAGACCAGGGAAGGTATAGGGTTCTTTTGTGGGTGCCGTGTGCTTGAAGGATTTTTTTAGAGACAGAAGATTGGGGGCAATAAGTTGGAAAGATAGGACATGGTGGCCAGAGAGTAAGATTCTGGACGCGTGATCGTACTTGGAAGGAAGGACAGGAGGACGCGAGGGGAGAGCAGATCACGTTGTTAGGTAGCAGGGTGTTGGGAGGAGCGTTCGCGTGTTCAGTGTGTGTTTATGAGCACCAGTAGTGCGGAAGTTAGAGTAAATGACAGCAAGAGAAGTCTGCCCGTGAGGAACGCGTATTCTGCTGGGGGCGATGGCCGATGACTATCACACGGGTTGAGCCCAGGGCATGCTAAAGAGAGGGTGTCTGGAGGAGAAGGAGAAACCAGCACGGGGTGCAGCAGACCGGTCTGTGAGCAAGAGGAAGCTGAGAGGATGTGGCGTTTCGGAAGGCGTGGGCCTGTGTTTCAGAGTCCTGTGGGAGACAGAGGTCGGCTGTGAACTCAGGAACGAGTGTGACCGACCTGCTCGTGCCACACAGAGGTCGTCCCTCCAGCCCCGACAGGGCAGTGAGTGATATGAGCTGCCGCTCTTGAAAATCCCAGTGGGAAAGAGGCACAGATACACACGCCTGGTCCAGCTGGGGGCACGCTTGGTCTCATAGATATTTCAACAGCTGTTTTTAAAAAGGAGAGGGGAGAAAGAGAGAGAGATTGTGATTCATCTCCCATTCTCTGGTTCTTTCCCCAAATGGCCACCAACAGCTAGGGCTGGACCAAGCCAAAGCCAAGGCCCTGGAACTCCAGCCAGAGCTCCCATGTAGTCAGCGGGGGCCCAAGCCCTTGAGCCATCACCTGCAGCCTGCTGGATCGGAAGTGGAGGAGCCAGTACTCCAACTCACACTTCAGTATGGGAAGTGGGTGTCCCATGTGGCGGCTTAGCCCACCACATCACAGCACCTGTCCCTGTGCACCAAGTATTGAATACCTCAGGCTCACAGTCAAGCACAAGCTGAGTCTTGCTCGTGGCTGACGTCCAGCCGTAATGCTTCCCTGCTCTTGCTGACTTTCTTATGTGTATTACTCACTTTCATTTTTGTCTTATTTCCATTTTCTTTTAAAGGACACGGAGTACAAAGCTGCTTCGGCTTATTGACTTAGATTTTTCCTTCACTTTCTCTCTCTTGGATCTACCACCAGTAAATGAATATGACATGTATATCAGAAACTTTGGGAAAAAAAATACCAAGCAGGTTAGTACAAGTTGTTTTAAGCAAGTGGCTAAATGTAAGTAACTTGTAAGTCTGTGCCTTCCAGTGTCTTGTTGCAGAATGTTAGGATTTGGGACTGGTCAGTGAAGGATATAGGTACTCATATCTGGGTAGACTGTGCAATGTAAGGTTTAGAGAAAGTCCTTGGGGAGCGTGGAGGAGTGGCCCATTTGTAATGGGTTGCAGGTGGTGGCACAAGGTTTGAACTTGTGAGTACAGCCTTGTTAGTGCAAATGTTTTATTTAAAGTCATGCAGAGTGTCAAGTTTGGATTAGTTTCTTGGCGTTCAGGTGACAACGTAACGTTGATTCTTGCGTAGATAAAACCCTTACCGTTCATGAGCCTTCAGTAATGCTGCCTGAACTCCCCGTAACTGGACCTCTTTAACACTCAAGCTTCTCTGTGTATTCTGTCTTCTTGTGCCTCCCTCCTCCTCTCTGTCCGGAACTTCTGTGTCAGTCTGCAGTGCCCAAGGCCCATTCTCTGTGTGGATCTTTCCCAAATGACCTCACACAGAATTCTCTGTTTTAATCCATACTCAGTGCAATACATCCCACATAATAATAGTCAAACTGAACATCAAGGTTATAAAACTTTAGAAGTCAGTCAACATAGCTTGTGTTTTTCTTATGTCCTTGATCATGGTACCGTCTATTTTAACATTATGTATTTGGACCATACTCTTTTAGAGCAAAGTCATGGCATAGAACTGAAGAAACAAACTTTTAATCCTTGCTTATTGACAAATTCACTCTGACTCAGTGTAAATTTTCTAACTTCTTTGCTTGTGTGTCTTCATTTCACAGCAGTTGGCAACAAAATTGTCCTTATTGAAACATGCTGCTTTTTGAAATAAAGAAACTATATTTGGTTTTGCAAAGCCAGTACATTCTGGGTAGGCTAGGTATTGGAGTTCTGAAAGTCAGGTTAAATTGTTTGATGTGGTTGTTTGAAAATCAGGCCTATACATTTCAAATGTTTAAGACACAAGCAGTTTTTGCATGATTATTAGATATGCCATTATACCTGTTTTGGACATAAGCAAGAAGGACAGGCATTGTTAACTTAAAAAAATTAAATTATTTTAATTTTCAATAATGATAGATTGCTCTGATACTTAGACTAAATGTTAATTCTAATTCTAACATGCCTTTGTTTTTTAGGCATATGTTCAGTATAATGAAGATAATGTTGAAAGAGATATTCAAACTGAAGAAATAGAGACCAAGGAAGTGTGGACCCAGCATCCAGGAGAGAGTGCTATTGTGTCTGGAGGTAACATCATTTTGCTCTTCAGTGTTGAATGTGATGTGGGAATGAATACCATATATTGTTTTGAAGAAGTAACATTATAGCAACTGAACTACAAGGTGATTAAATCTGCTTGTGGAGACCAGTCAGGGTCCTTTTGTTCCTAATCATAGAGGGAAGGATTTCACATTCCAAACAGCCACTTGAACTGGACTTCAGGGATACACTCTGCTCTTAAGTTGAGGAGAGTCTGTTCCCACCAATATAGAATCTTTATGTTTCAAAGTGCAGTTTGCAGGTATGTTCCATAGACACTGGTTGAAGATCCCTGGGACACATGGTTTCTTGTAGGTATACTGCAACTGTTTACATGTTACGTATCTTGCTGGTTGATTGTTTTTCTTGAGGAACTCTCTGTATGGAGGGAAATGATATTAACTTGGTTTCCTCAGATAAGCCTCACCTTAAGGAATTACCTAAACGTAACACTTACATAATAGTTAAATTGAATCTTTTAACTCTTTTTCTTAATACATTTAAATAGAGTTCTGTTTACAGACCTCCAATAAAACAAAATGTAGGTTTTTTTTTTTTTAAGATTTTTAAATTTCATTTGAAAGTCAGATATACACATAAAGGAGAGGCAGAGAGAGAGAGGTCCTCCCTTCACTGGTTCACTCCCCAATTGGTTGTAATGGTCAGAGCTGTGCCAGTCTGAAGCCAGGAGCCTGGAGCTTCCTCCAGGTCTCCCATGTGGGTGCAGAGGCCCAAGGACCCAAGGACTATTCCCATTCTTTTTGTTTTACAAAGATCTATTTTCAGTTAACTTTTTACCCGTAAGATTAACCCTACAGTAAGTAAAGACGCTAATAATTAGTATGAAGATAAATAAACTCTTCCTCAATAGTCAAGACAAGGGCTGTTCAAAATCATTGCATCTCAAAGTGTCAATTTTACTCCTATAGATTACCTTTTAGGTACTCTGTTAGTTACCACAGTTCAGGGAGAACATACGGTATTTGTTTTTTGGGGAGGTGACTTATTTTACTAAGTATAATGGTTTCCAGTTCCACCCATTTTGTTGCAAACGACAGGACTTCATTTTTTAACCGCTGTGTCGTACTCCATAGTGTGTATATACCATGATTTCTTTATCCAGTCACCAGCTGATGGACATCTGTGTTGAATCCATGTCTTAGCTGTTGTGAACCGAGCTGCATGTTTTTTGAGGGGAAAAATCAGTTGTAGGTGAGAGAATATGATGCAAAGTTTTCTGACTTTTCCATCTAGGACTTTGAATGTTCATCTGTAACACCTCTTTGAACTCTTAAGATGTGTTTGCATGATTATTTTAGAGTCAATTTAGTAGATGTTATATAACCTTTTTTTTTTTTCCCCTTTAGGTAGTGAAAAAAGAGATATTTCTGATGCTGCAGTTGTACCAAAGATTGATACTCCAAGGTTATCTAGTTTTCTCCGTGCAGCTTGTCAGGTATATTCTACATTGTGTGTTCTAGTCTGTGTGTAAGTGGTTAAAGTTTTATTATACATAGAAACGTAAGAACGGGGCCTGTGCTGTGGCATAACGGGTTAAGTTGCTGCCCACAACGCTGGCATCCCAAATGGGCACTGGTTCAAGTCTTATTTGCTCTACTTCTGAGACAGCCTCCTGCTGATGGCCTAGGAAAGCAGCGGAGGATGGCCCAAGTGCCCTGCCCCCACGTGGGAGATGCAGATGATCAGGGGAGTGAACCAGCAGATGGAAGATCTCTGTCTCTTCTCTCTTTTTCTCTGTCTCTCCTTCCCTTTCTCTCTCTCTGACTTTCAAATAAATAAAATCTTAAAAAAAAAAAAAAAGCATAGGGGCTGCTGAAATCTTGGAGCCTTTTATAGCTTAGATAAGGAGCAGCTACTCATTTTCAGTTTCTTTTTCCCTACAAATGTCAGTGATATTTTCATTAAGCTCTTGTACGCAAAATGATACTCAGAAATGTTTATCACTAAAATACTAAGTATGTATTTGGATTCTAGTACATTCTTTTTTTTTGACAGGCAGAGTGGACAGTGAGAGAGAGAGACAGAGAGAAAGGTCTTCCTTTTGCCGTTGGTTCACCCTCCAATGGCCGCCATGGCCGGCGCACCGCGGCCGGCGCACCGCACTGATCCGAAGCCAGGAGCCAGGTGCTTCTCCTGGTCTCCCATGGGGTGCAGGGCCCAAGTACTTGGGCCATCCTCCACTGCACTCCCTGGCCATAGCAGAGAGCTGGCCCGGAAGAGGGGCAACCGGGACAGAATCCGGCGCCCCGACCGGGACTAGAACCCGGTGTGCTGGCGCCGCTAGGTGGAGGATTAGCCTAGTGAGCCACGGCGCCAGCCATCTAGTGCATTCTATACTTTAACATTAGTTTCTTATATTTTAAAATAACTATAGACTAAGACCTAGACATACTAGTTGATAAGACAAACATAAATATTGTGTATTTGTATAATAAACTCACGATTTCTTTTTAGATTTGTTTTTAAAGATTTTTTTTTATTTATTTGAAAGTCAGGGTTACAGAGAGAGAAACACAGAGAAAGAGAGAGTTCTTCATCTGCTGGTTCACTCTCCAAGTGACCACAGCAGCCTGGGCTGAGCCAGGCCAGAGCCAGGAGCCAGGAGCTTCATCCAGGTCTCCCACATGGGCAGCAGGGGCCCAAGCACTTGGGCCATCTCCCACTGCTTTTCCCAGGCCATAAGTAGGGAGCTGGATTGGAAATGGAGCAGCCTGGACTTGAACGCATTTTCATATGGGAAGTCCATATTGCAGGCAATGGTTTTAGCAACTGTGCCACAATGCCAGCCCCTAGATTTTAATTTTTTAAAGATTTATTTATTTATTTATTTGAATGGCAGAGTTACAGAGAGAGGGAGATAGAGCGAGTTTCTCCATCTACTTGTTCTCTTCTCAAATGACCCTAAGGGATGGGGCTGGGCCAAGCCAAAACCAAGAGCCTGGAACTCTGGGCTGCAGGGGCCCAGGCGCTTGAGCCATCTGCTGCTTTCACAGACTGAATAGCAGGGAGCTGGATAAGAAGTGGAGCAGCCGGGGCCCAAACAGCCTTCGCATGGCATGCCAGCACTGCAGGCGAGAGCTTGACCACACCACAATGCAAGCTCCAACTCATGACTTCTTAAACCGAGTATGGAAACTTTTCAAAATCCATACAAAGGTAAGGAAGCAGTATCGTGAATTCTCATGTGCTTCAGTATTTCCTGCCTCATGGCCAGTTCATCTCCTCTGACACTGGCCCCCACCACCCCATCACCCACTCATCTTTAATTATGCTGAAACAAATACCAGTCATCATAGCTTTTTCTCCATTAATAGTTCAGTGTGAATTTCTAAAAGAAAAACAACACCAAGAGAATTATTAGTTATAATTTCTAAATGTCAGCAAATATGACGTCAGTATTAAGATTTCATTAGATGGGGGCGGAGCCAAGATGGCGGAATAGTGAGGGCGCGCACCGATAGTCCGGGAAAATTTAGTTTAATAAAAGGGGAGTTACGGTAGCCGCAGAAAATAGAACCAAACAAAAAATTGCAGGGGAAACCCTTCTGAATGGAGCAGGCGTGAATCGGAGGACCTACTGGGAGAACAAGGTCGCCCACCGCAGAAGCCAAGTCGCGGGACCCAGCCGCAGAAGCCCCAGGGTCTGCGCGACAGTGCGCCAAGGAGAGTGCACGCCACACAGAAAACAGCGGGGAGACTTGGGACGCTCAGGGCCCCGAGTCCACACATCGGCGCTGGAAGGGGAGGTGAGCTCAATAACCCCAGACATTGGTGGGGAAACGGGGGTCAGAATCTAGAGGGGGACCGGAAAGTGCAGCAAACTCACTACCGGAAAGAAGGAAAAAAAAAAAGCTTCAGGGTTTCTCTTCCCCCTAACCTTGCAAAGGTTACAAGGCCGGCTTGAAGAATTCCCAAGAGACAAAGAGCAGGCCTCCTCTTTGGATTTACATATCAATGGGGGAGAGTTAAGGAACTGAGTCACTACAATTCAGTAGCCTAGGCAACCCAGTGGGAGTCCAGAGGAGCCAAAGACTGGAAGCTAAATACCATCAATTCTGCACAGCCCTGCCCTGCTGTGTTACTTACCCCCTGAATAAATAAAATAAATAAATAAATAAAAAGAGAAGCATAACCTGAGGGTGTCACCTTTGCACACCCTTAACCAGGAAGAACCAGGCAGAGCTCTCAGGCCGCACCCATCTCAAGCCTCCAAGGCTCCTCCAACAGCAGGCAGTCCACTTAACAAGGACACAGTATAAAAAAAAAAAAAAAAAGAAAAAAAAAAAAGCGCACAGTGACGCAAGAAGAATTAACTATGCCGAGTAACAAACACAGAAATAGAGGGAGCAAGATCAACGATGACACTATGATGCCTCCAAATAAGCAAAACACCCCAAGCCAAGAGTATGAAGATGATGAGATAGAAGAAATGCAAGATACGGATTTCAAAAAATTTATGATAAGAACATTTAGAAGTTTTCAAAAGCAAATCCTTGAACTACAGAAATCCTTAATGGACAAGATTGAAAATCTTTCTCGTGAAAATGAAATTTTAAGGAAGAGTCAAAATGAAACTCAGAAACTAGTAGAACAGGAAAGTGTAATAGTCAAGAGAAATCAAAATGAAATGAAGAGCTCAATAGATCAAATGACAAACACATTAGAAAGCCTTAAAAACAGAATGGGTGAAGCAGAAGAGAGAATATCGGACTTAGAAGATAGAGCACAGGAAAACATACAGTCAAACCAAAGAAAAGAAGAGGAAATTAGAAACCTGAAAAATATTGTTGGGAATCTACAGGATACTATTAAAAAAACCAACATTCGAGTTCTAGGAGTTCCTGAAGGCATGGAGAGAGAGAAAGGATTGGAAGGCCTTTTTAGTGAGATACTAGCAGAGAACTTTCCAGGTTTGGAGAAGGACAGAGATATCCTAGTACAGGAAGCTCATAGAACCCCCAATAAACATGACCAAAAGAGATCCTCACCACGACACGTGGTAATTAAACTTACCACAGTGAAACATAAAGAAAAGATCCTAAAATGTGCAAGAGAGAAACGTCAGATTACTCTCAGAGGATCTCCAATCAGACTCACAGCTGACTTCTCATCAGAAACCCTACAAGCTAGGAGGGAATGGCGAGACATAGCACAGGTGCTAAGAGAGAAAAATTGCCAGCCTAGAATATTATATCCTGCCAAGCTCTCATTTGTGAATGAAGGTGAAATAAAGACCTTTCATAGCAAACAGAAATTGAAAGACTTTGTGGCCACTCGTCCGGCCCTGCAAAAGATACTTAAAGATGTGCTACACTCAGAAACACAGAAACACGGCCATCAATATGAAAGAAGGGAAAGGAAGAACACCTACCAGTAAAAGAGCATGGGAAGCTCAAAGCATATACTAGAAAATATTTCCGGGAAAATGGCAGGGCAAAGTCACTACGTATCAATAGTCACATTGAACATTAATGGTCTGAATTCTTCAGTTAAAAGACACCGTTTGACTGACTGGCTCACAGAACACAACCCAACTATTTGTTGCCTACAAGAAACACATCTCTCTAACAAAGAGGCATGCAGACTGAAAGTGAAAGGTTGGAAAAAGATATTCCATGCCAACAGAAACCAAAAAAAAGCAGGTGTAGCCATATTAATATCAGACAAAATAAACTTTAATACAAAAACTGTTAAGAGAGACAAAGAGGGACACTATATAATGATTAAGGGTTCAATTCAACAGGAAGATGTAACTATTATAAATGTATATGCACCTAATTACAGGGCACCGGTCTATTTAAAAGATATGTTAAGGGACTTAAAGGGAGATTTAGATTCCAATACAATAGTACTGGGGGACTTCAATACTCCACTCTCAGAAATAGACAGATCATCCGGACAGAAGATCAACAAGGAAACAGCAGATTTAATTGACACTATTGCCCAAATGGATCTAACAGATATCTACAGAACTTTCAACCCTACATCTACAGACTTCACATTCTTCTCAGCAGCGCATGGAACCTTCTCTAGGATTGATCACATACTAGGCCATAAAGCAAGTCTCAGCAAATTTAAAAGAATTAGAATCATACCATGCAGCTTCTCAGACCACAGCGGGATGAAGCTGGAAATTAGCAACTCAGGAAACCCCAGAAAGTATGCAAACACATGGAGACTGAACAGCATGCTCCTGAATGAACACTGGGTCATTCAAGAAATCAAAAGAGAAATCAAAAACTTTCTGGAAGTAAATGAAGACAACAACACAACATATCAAAACTTATGGGATACAGCAAAAGCAGTATTGAGAGGCAAATTTATAGCAATAGGTGCCTATATCAAGAAATTGGAAAGGTACCAAATAAATGAGCTTTCAGCGCACCTCAAGGACCTAGAAAAACTGCAGCAAACCAAACCCAAATCTAGTAGGAG